CCCACCCCGAAGATGACCACTCTTCGGGTACTGCTACACATAGCTACTCACCGCGACTACGAGCTGCACTCTCTTGACTTCAGCACTGCTTTCTTGCAGGGCAGCCTGCACGAGGAGATCTGGCTGCGTCGCCCACCTGGCTTCACTGGGTCTTTTCCTCCTGGCACCCAGTGGAGCCTCCGGCGGCCAGTCTACGGTCTCCGCCAGGCACCGCGTGAGTGGCACGACGCACTGAGGACTACACTTGCGGCTCTTGGGTTTGCTCCCTCTACTGCCGACCCGTCGCTGTTTCTGCGCACCGACACTTCTTTGCCGCCGTTCTACATCCTCGTGTACGTCGACGACTTGGTCTTTGCCACAGCTGACACTACTGGACTCGCCCACGTGAAGTCCGAGCTGCAGAAGAGACACACGTGCACAGACCTGGGTGAACTGCGCAGCTACCTTGGCTTGCAGATCACCCGGGACAGAGCACGCCGCACCATTACCCTGACTCAGTCACACATGGTGCAGCAGGTCCTTCAGCGCTTCGGCTTCACGTACTCCTCGCCTCAGGCCACTCCTCTGCCTACTCGCCACTCGCTCTCAGCTCTGCCTTCGGATGAGTCCGTAGAGTCGAGTGGCCCGTACCCAGAGCTTGTTGGCTGCCTCATGTACCTGATGACCTGCACACGACCTGACCTCGCATACCCTCTTAGCATTCTCGCACGCTATGTTGCTCCTGGGAGACACAGACCGGAGCACATGGCTGCAGCGAAGAGGGTGTTGCGTTACTTGTGCAGTACGTCGGGCATGGGGCTTGTGCTTGGAGGGCAGAGTCCAGTGGTCCTCACTGGGCACGCAGACGCTTCTTGGGCTGACGACCAGGCTACGCAGCGGTCGTCACAGGGTTACACCTTCAGCCTTGGTTCCGGCTCTGTTTCGTGGCGGGCTACCCGCTCGTCTTCTGTTCTCGGCTCCAGTTGTGAGGCTGAGATCTACGCCGGGGCCATGGCTGCACAGGAGCTTCGCTGGCTCACCTACCTGCTGACTGACCTCGGAGAGCCGCCTCGTTCTCCTCCAGTGCTGTACGTAGACAACAAGGCCATGCTGGCCTTGTGTCGAGAGCACAGACTGGAGCACAGAACGAAGCACATTGCTCTCCGCTACTTCCTTGCTCGTGAGCTACAGCAGCGTGGTCAGCTGCGGCTTGCGTACGTGGCCTCTCAGGCCAACACTGCTGATATCTTCACCAAGGCACTTGCGCCTTGTGATCATCAGCGCTTCTGTACTCAGCTGGGTCTTGTGCCTACCTTGCCTCACTTGCTCACCCCTTGACCTTGTTTGTACTGTTGCATATATATATACACCTGCTCTTGCTTGTCTAGCCTTATATATATATGTAATCCTGCATGTGAACTGGCCTTGTGGCCTTGAACTTGTGCTCGGAATGTGTGGTGACTTTGTGATCCACCCTGAGCTTGCTTTGCTTTGCTTGACTGGTCTTGTGACCCCTTGTTCTCCCCCACTTTGCCTATGGGGGTGTGTCAGATTTATATGACATAGCTACTGTACGCTATAGCGGGGTAGCACATATGGGGTACAGTTTTCTAGGGTTCACATTTGTACCCAACTTTCCCTTAGTCAATCTCATTCCTCGTTTCTTCTCAGCATCGTGTCCCACTTGCCAGATCATGAAGTCAACACGGAAGCGATCGGCGGGACAGTTGCAGCCAATCCCACCTCCAGAGCGTGCTTGGCAGCAGGTGACGATGGACTTCGTCACGGGGTTACCGGCCGGGGCAAGTGGAAATGACGCGATCCTGGTCGTCGTCGATCGACTGACGAAAATGGCACACTTCGCAGCCTGCAAAAAATCAATCACAGCCGAAGAAACAACCCGCCTCTTCATCTCTACCGTCGTTCGACTGCACGGGATACCAGCATCAATCATCAGCGACAGAGACACGAAATTCACCAGCAACTTCTGGCGGAACCTGTGGCAGCAGTTCGGCACGCGACTACAGTTTAGTTCATCGTACCACCCCGAAACAGACGGACAGACAGAACGGACAAATCAGACCATGGAACAGCTCATCCGGGCCACGTGCGACGACCCAAACACGTGGGAACAGCAACTGCCACTCATCGAATTCGCATACAACAACGCCCCATCCGCCACGACCCAACAGTCACCGTTTTACCTGAACTATGGACAAGACCCAACAGTACCCATGACCCCGAATCCCGACAACCCGGTTCCACGCGCGCAACAGTTCGCCGAAATTTTGCAAGCAGCACGGACCAGGGCAGCCAGGGTCCTCGACATCAGACATTTTTGTCTGTTTGTCTTAGTTTCCAGACGATTTTTTTCGAGCTAATCTGATTTTCAAGGAATGATTAATTTTTTCATCTGATTGAGTAGAAATGATTTCTTGTCTTCATCTGATTCATCAGAAGTGTAATATATGTTTCGTCTAAAATCGAAACATGTTAAGAGTACGGGGATTTCCCGCAGAACATGCTCTGACAGGGCGAATCTGTTGTCAAGGCGAATCTGCTGTGTTGTGTAAGGTCGAATCTCTTGTGTCAGGAAGAGTTTTCTATGATTGGACGAACATGTTGCGCTCTGACGTTGCGAATCTGCCGTGTCAGAGCGAATTTGCTCTGATTGGGCGAATAATTTGTGCTCTGACAGGGCGAATCTGCCGTGTTAGGGCGATTTTGCAGAGACCATTGAAGTCCGAATCACACCAGTGTGTACTTCGAATGAATGTGACAGGACGAGAAAAGTCAGACTCAACTTGTTATCCCACGTCCATCTACACGCTAGAAACTCTATTTAATTGGTCAGACAAGTTCTTCTGAAATTTCTGATGCATCAGACACGCAAAGGCAAAATATCTGATGCATCAGACGGGCCCGAAGGGCCCGTCTGACGCATCAGGGGGGTTCAAATCCTAGCGAGGACCCTGAGGGCAGCAGACGCAATTAAAAAAGCCAACATCATCGCTAAACGCAACGCCGACCGCCACCGCAGACCTGTCACTTACCAGCCCGACGACTTAGTTTTGCTCGACACCCAAAATCTCCGACTGCCCATCACCCCGAAACTCCGCCCCCGATACTGCGGGCCATTTCGCATAAGCCACATGCTTACACCTGTCACCGCCCACCTCCTCCTCCCTGCTGACTGGTACGTCAGCCCCTCGTTCCACGTCAGCCTACTTCGCCCTTACGTCCCGTCCACGAGCCAACTGCCACGCAATCGCCCCGCCAGCATGACAAGGCCACCAACTGAACCAATCATCACCCCCGAAAAAATCCTGAGTCACAGAGTTCGCGACCCTCGAGGAGCCCGAAGGATCGAGTTCTTACTCCGCTGGAAGGACCGCACACCCACCGAAGACAATTGGGTTCCCCTGGACAGAATCGAAAACCACCCCGCCCTCACCGAGTACCTGCGCAGCCGAAATTTCAGGGATATACACGCACTCTCGTAAGGAGGACCTCCTTAGAGGGGGGGGTAGTGTAAGGAAAACTCCTTTTTCCTTACTTCGCATCTCTGCTCAACGCGTACGTCACTGTAGCACCACAGTCAGCACCGTTACCACTCGCAACCCTCGCATCGACAATCTACCCGCCACCTTCGCACATCGCACCCCGACCTCACGACTCGGCGGGTAACCCGCGCTCCGGGCCTCCGCTTCGACACTTTTTCCCAACCTCAGTCCCAGGCCCGTCGCGCGACAACCATAGTCCATTACCGTTACCACTGTAGTTTCGCTATATATTCTTCGCTCAGACCTTCGCTCATTGGACTCTTGCTTCGATAGTGCAATTCTCGTTCGTTCACTCAATTGCACTCGTAACAATAAACTTATATTTGTTTTTTTTTTATATAAAATTCCTCTGTGCATGGACTGACTTCCTGTGATGGCGTACTTGAACTGGTAATGTAGGGTTGATCGTGCCAACACAATGCCTCCTAACAGGACCAGGAACAAGGTAGGATAGTCTGAGCACTTGGCCTCTCTGCTCCACCCAGAGCACACCATAATACCGTATGGCCCGTGTATGAATTTATCGTTCCGTTCACAACAGTTTCCTTGCATTAGTGAATTTCTCAAATTTCAATGGTAGCGGTACATGTCTAGGACATAACCTCCCTTCATGACGCCAGCTACACCACTACACATAGTCCTATTTCTCAGAAGCTGGGGTAGGAGCTGGAGCAGGGGCAGGAACAGGAGCGGGGCCAGGAGCAGGAGCAGGAGCAGCAGAAGGGACACCAGCCAGAGGGGGAGGCTCCCTCCCCGGACCAGCAGGTGCGGGACGCCCTCCAATGGTTCGTGGAGGCTGACGACCAATGGCTTGCAGGCTGAGGTTGACTTTCATGACCACCTCGTCAGGGAAATTTGGGCCAGGAGGAGGTGGGCCTGGTTTCACGCCAAGAGCATCAACCAATGCACTGGGAAGGCCAGAGTGGCAGGGAAAGAGTAGGTTATGGGAGTGGGAAGAGAAGAAAGCAGGGGAAACAGGGAAAGCATGGAGCAGGAGAAGTGGGGGGAAGGGGGGGAGGTAGGGCGCTGATCCCATGTGGTTGTGTTGGTTCTACTTGCGGAAAGCCCCAGCGGCCTTGAAAGAGAGGAGGATGCGTGCAAAGGAGGCATTGATGCCGGGGCCAGGAGGAGGAGATCCACGAGGAGGAGGAGCAATGGCTGCGAACATAACAATGCAAAGGGGCGGTGGGTTGGGAAAGGTCGTGTTGCGTGGTGATGGAACACAGGGTTTTGGGGGGATGGGTGGGGGGGTAGGGGGGAAAGAGCAAATGTGCAGGCATACATTAGATATGCGGCCGTTTGGGTTGGGGATTGTAAAATAAAAGCAAACATATAAGATCTGATAGTTCCTGGAGCTCACCGGAGTGGAATGTCAAGCTCGCCACCAGAAATAAGCTCAAAGACAGGACCCTGTAATATAACAGCAGCAGAACAAAGTTCAGCCCATCATATCTACCACTACTCATGGAACTGATAAACAAACAAGGAAGACGAAGAAGTCGGGGGGAAAGAGGGAACATTAAGCATAGACAGCATACCCTTCGGATGAATTTCCCATTCAGTGTCGGGATGTTTCCTGCAGGGAGCGTGATCACCACATTTTGTTTGTTCACGTCGGATCGCAGCAGGGTGCCGGACACGCGGGAGAAGACCAGCCTCGTGTTGTTGGGCTTGAAGGAATAGTCGCTCGTGGTGTTGTCGATGTCAAACCGCCCACCCCAGATCTGTACGACGGGGTTCTGGAAGGTAAGGTTGGCGAACTCGTTGGCGCCTGAAGGTGGACCTATGGAAGCTGTCCACGTGGCAGGGTCCGACGTCAGATTGGAAGACAAGCACTCAGCCTGCATAAGTAACAAAAAATGCAAGAAAACAAATAAGATAATACAAAAGGAGTTAATAAAACAACATCACAAGAGAAACTTTAGCTCGAGAAGTTTCACGTTCAAATTTAATGGACAACACTCACTTGGATGGGAGTGAACTGCGGGCGGATGACCTTAAGCACGTTGATAACGACAGGCCCCACCAGCTTGAACTGCCCTGGAGTGCTCTCCTTGCGCAGCGCTGGCGGGCCCTGCAGCGACCACGACGACACGGAATTCTCGGGAATGGTCTTCAGATCCACTATGCCGCGCTGCTGAGGCTGCGCTGCAGCGAGTGAGGCGAGTGAGGCGAGGGTCGCGAGGACGGAGAGAGAGACGAGGATGCGGAGGAAAGGGTGGGAGGCGTGGAGCGCCATGGGTGCAAGTAGTGTTACAGGGTGGATGAGGGTGCAACGGAGGAGAGGAAGACGGGGTCAGGCAGGTGACGGAGAGCTGGTAGTCGGAGCAGGAGGCGGCAAACCCGGCTGCTTCTGCGCTGAAAGAGAAGTTAAACACTCCAGAGGCAGGCAGATGCTGCTGAAACTCGTCCAAGAGTGCGCTTAAAAGCGAACAAGTAAGGACGATTTCGTTTCTCGTGCGAGGATCGGCGGCGAGAGAGCGGCGCCATCGCGTTGTTCGCGAAGTGCTCGTCGAAATGGCCCACGTCGCATGCCATGGTGGGTCGAGGTAATGCGGGTGAAATGAACGGATCTATGAGGCACATGCAGCGTAATTTCCGGGTTAGTTATCGTTGCCAGTTTTACTTGTCCAGCGCGGATATTTCCTTAGACCTCGTTAAGAGCCACCCGAATTGAAACAGCTGGTAATTCAACCATTATGAACCTCGCCGTTTAGATCACTACCATGCACCCAGCCTGTCCATTCTATGATGTGAAGCGACACGACGGAATGCTGATATTTCAGCCGCTGCTGCGGCAAAACGAGATGCATCGACATGGATGCTGGACGGTGAGCCTCTTGGTGCCTGTTCAGAAAATGGGTGCTGTGCGTGCTTCTCGCTGTCCGTGATGGATTTGACGGAATTCTTGGGAATTCCTAACGTTGGACGAAACTTGCTCTAGGGGGCTGATGGTCTGGGATGCACAGAATGACATATTTGCATGTTTGCCCGAATATTCAGATTCTTGTGAAATGGAAACTGAAATGGTGTACACGAAGTGATATGGTGCAAAAGGGAATGCACAATCGTTTGGTATCACTGGAAATGTTTTCATAACAAATTATCCAGGGTAATAGCACGTGGAAAGGTGTCCGTGTATTGCGCTACTACAGCCTTTTCGAGGTTCGTCGTCGACGATGGCGGCCTGAGCTGTAGTTTCCGAACCAGGTCGCGAAGCGCCTGATGGACTGTCCTTCCGAATCGCAAAGCAGCTTCTTTCCACGTAAGCTCAGAGATAAGAATAGCATCTGTGGAATATTAACGTCGCAAACGTTGGACCCGTTCGTATCTCGAATCTCGTGGAATGTTGTTGTTTTCTACCCGCTTTCTCGGCTGAGGCTTCCCCTGCGCTATTCCCCGCAAGTGACTCTAAAGCTTTTATCTCCGCTGTCGTCCTTCTCTCTCTCCAACTATTTCTGCTTCTTGCGAAGAGTCATCCATGGCAATGGCTGGTGCTACTAGAAACTCCCGTTCCTCCACCAGGGGTTTCACTCCCGCTCGCCTACCTCTTTCTCTCTCCCTCTCACTCTCCCTCCTCCTCGCACTCTTTCTCTCTCTTTTTGGCGGGACGTCAGCACAGACGGGAGCAGTGCCTCTCACCATCATCCCACAGAACTCCGTGTCTACGTGGTCCATTCAGACGCTGCCAGGTGTCACAGCGAACACGTCACCGCTTTCATTCCAAGAGACGGGGCCCGTGCTGCTCAACATCTCGCAGGCCGATAGCAAGACGTTCCAGCCCACCGAGGCAAGTCAAGTTATATTATATGCAAGGCGTAAGCACATGTGATGCTGTTACTCTCAACCTCAGCCTGTATGCATGGCATTCCAAATTCCTAGATGATGTTTAGTTGTTTGTTGGGGGATGTTTCTCGACTGCCATTTTAATTTGTGCAGGTGGTTTGGACGTCGTCCAACATCAGCACTGATCCTTCCACGTGGACTGCTGAGCTGTCGTCAGCAGTGAGCCGATCCAGCATCGCCAATCTGACCATGCAGAACCCCCAGATGTGGATCTACGGTGGGGATCAATCCTCCAGGCTGATGTCTTGCTCTCTTATTCACCGCCTCGTTGCCTCTTATCTTAGGTTCCCGTTTTGCTTGCATGAGGTCTCAATTTGAGGATGTTGTTTCTTGTTGATGTTCCCACAGGGGGCAAGTTTGATGTGAAGAACCTCAACTACTCCTTCAAGCCGGACAACGCAGTGCTCCTGGTGCAGAGCCTCACTGGCACGCTGCTGGGCACCAACGTGAACAGCCAGAACCTGCAAGTGCCCATTGAATCTGACAACATCCCCACCCTCAATGGCCAGCTCATTGCGCGGGTAAAAATGCCTTCTGATTTGTTCTAATGCATGCTTTTCAGTATGTTGTCTTTTATGTACGTCTTCATTGGTGTACATGATCAAGAGACAGACTGGTCTGGGTGTTGGTTCAGATCAGATTCCCGTCTTGTCTTTATTTCCGGTTGTTGTGTTTCAGGGCCCGCAATATGAGCTGCTGTCGAATGGCGTCTTCGAAGTCCCTCTCAGGTATGCAACTTTCATCCTATAATACGCATACATATAATCACGGATGCCTGCAATGCTCTCAGGTATGGTGTGCATTTCTCCAAGAAATTAGATGCATACTGGGACATTTACATGAATGCCTGTATTTCCCATGTTACACCAGGCCAAATTCCTTTTTTTGTTTTGCCATTGCACATTGACCATCCAACATTAGTTACCCAACATTCTTCAACCCTCCACCGTGCCGCTCTCATTCACAGCGGTCTCATCACGGCAGCGGGCGGTGGGGAGCAGGCAGGGGGACTTGTGGGCGACAGCTTCCTGCAACTCAACATGACCATCCAGGCCATTGGCCCTCCTGGCCGTGGGCCTCGCCCTCCCTTCCGTGCCCCCCCTCGCGCACCACGTCGACTCAGATAAAAAGTGGCTTGAAAAGTTGCACCTTCCAAGCCCTCCTCACGTGCTAATGGGACTAGGAACAGGTCTTGCTCAGGTAGGGGACAAGGCGGTTTTGCGCAGACATGGTCTGCCTTTTACGTAGGAGGAAGCTGTGTTGATGATAATGTGGAAGTACTGCAATATATTTTGAAGTGAGTGGCAGGACTCTAGTCGCAGACAGAAGGACCACAATTGGGCAAAAACGTGTTGGTAAAAGATACATAAACTGTACATCTGTTATAGCCTTCTCATCTCCAACTCGCTGATAGTTAAAATATCCACAGGCTCCTTTGACCCAGAATGCCTCCTATGTTCTAAAACCCCATCTGTGTCCGCTGCAATAACACTACTACTATCACCTACATCCCCTTCCAAAGCCTCATCTACACCAGAAGAATCACTACACCCCTTATTGGAGATATCAGCATCAACAGCAGCATCACCATCCGTAGCATCAGCATGAGCAGCTGTTGAAGTCACACCCTCACCATCCTCAGCACCAGCACCAGCTGCCTTTTTTCTCTTGGCCCGCTTGTCGTACCGGTACTTGAGTACAGTAAGGGTTACCATGAAAACGATTTCAATTATAAGGGGGATGGCCACGGGCCAGAGCTTGTACGCCACGCCGTAAATGCTGATTCCGATCAGACCCAGCAGGTAGCATGCTTGCCTGGCGGACGAGAAAATGGGAGAGGTGAAGGGGGGGAGTGAGTGTGAGGGGGCATGGAAGGTACAAGGAGAGAAGAATAGGAAGAGAGGCAAGTGCGAATTGCGAAGAAGAGGGGGCTGGAGGAAGAAAGGGCGAAAACAGGGAGAGGAAAGGGGAGTGGAGAAGGGGAGAGGGGGATAGCGGGATGAATACTGGGAAGGCGGGGATTTGAGGGGGACGGGGTGACGGGAGGGTGGCAGTCTGTGCGTGGTCCCAGAGGTGAGGCGAAACGAGGGGGCAAGGAGGAGAGACTCTGACAGCATCAAGCGCAAATTCTGCTAATCGGAAGATTCATGTCAGAGTAACCATTATAAACGCCCGCAAACGATCGGTTAGGGAAATGGTGAAATAACGAGGGATTTGTGCCAATTCTGACCAGAAATAGCTGAGGTCTTTGGCGGACTTGGTACGGTACGTCTTGACCAGCTGCGGCAGGATTGACACGCAGAAGATGATACCGCCGATGAAACCGCATGCGGAGTACGGATTCGCAAACGACGCTTCTAACGAAGCCTCCTCTGTCGCGACCATTGCAGGTAGTGACAACTACGAGAGTGCTGTGGTAGGTAGTGGGAACAGGGTTGTGTGCTGCTGAGTTGAGAGGGGGAACGGGGAACGGGGAAGGGATTGGAGGAATGTTTGGGTCGCTGGGCGCATTTGGAAATGCTTCGTTATGGGCGCTTTCAGCGAGCGCAGACAAGGATTTATGGGGCTGAACACAGCAGCACCGATTAATATATTGGAATGAAAGAACTACATGTTAATCGCTAGTGATTATTGTGTTTGGTGTTCTCCCTTTTTGTGTCTCAGGCTACTTATCCGCTAACGTGAGAACCTAATGTGTCAATAATGAATCTCCTGCAAGGAAATTGCGCCTCTTCCCCCAACCGCAACGAAATTTGCGCCCCTCCCCGAATTCGGAGGCGGAAATTCGCGCCTCTCTGCATTCGTCACTTCCACAGCCCCGCACCATCCCAACCATTGGAGACCCAACCCAATCCCCTCAGGCCCACCATTCTTTCCGCCGTGTTCAGGCATGCTTCATGCACATTGCTTTCCATTCATTCTTTCTTATCTACGTAGCTTCGCCTTGCCGCGCACCCCATGTCCCGCTGTTCCGCGCCCTCGCGTCGCGTCGACTCACCTTGTCACCCAACGGGCTCGCTCCGCCCCTTGTCTTTCCCCGCGGGCCGCGGGTCGAGAGTCGAAATGGCCCGTCCATCGTCCATCGCGCCCGACGGACCGCCGCAAGGAAACGCGAACCCGGGTTCCGCCGCGTCCCAGTCACACCCCAACTCCGCGCGTTCACGCCCACCGCCTTCCGCGGCCGTGCTTATCTCCTTGCGCCTCCTGCGCTTTTCCCCCAGCGTCTCTCCCCTTGCTCAGGCCGAGCCGAGGCCCCTCTCATCGCGGGTTTCCTCAACCGCATGCGGCGCTCACACGTCGTTTCCGTTCCCCCTGTGCGGATCCTCAACCCGTAGGCGCGCGTCTCTCCGTTCCCCTTTTGCGGATTCGCATTTTGCAGGACGCGTCTCACGTCTCATCCAGTACCCCCTCCCTCGCCTCTCTCTCTCTTAGCGCCAGGCTGTCTACCCGACAGGGCTGCTCCGCCACGTGCTATTCCGCACCTGCCCGTTGCGGAACCGCTACGGGTGCTCCTCTCACCGCGATACACCGCTCCCTTTTCCATCGTCACCCTTCTCCCTCGCGACCTTCGATTTGACTCTACACTTGTCTTGAGAAGTCGCCCGCCGCAAGGCCTGCGATTGCCAAAACGTTTGACCGTGAGAGCCGAGATTCCCAAGGGATCCGACAGTCGTACCGTTAGACTGATGAAGCGGACGGCTTCCGTCGCGGATTCGTTCATTTTCCGTCACCGGTGGTGATTCAATCACCCGAAGTTTGGAGCGATTTGCTGACGAGCAACTCGTGCTGCGCCGAGTCTCCTGGCAGAGTTTGAGAGGCCGAATGCGTGCGCCTGCCGTGGCTGGTTGCAGCCGATGCAGCAGAACCCACCACGGGCTTTTTAAGACGTAGTTCTTCCAGTTGCTGTGCGTCCTATTCTTGCCATTACACCCGCGTCTCCTGGTTTTCGAATTCGTACCTTCAACAGACGTAACCCACGAATCCTTTCTCGTGTTACTCGTGCCTCTATTTCGCTCATTCGCCTCCTCGTCGTCACTCGTCTCCTAGAAGTCACCTAGATCAGTTCAGCAACCGTTGGTTTCCTCAAAGCCGCAGTTCCTGCTTCATTTCTTGGGTGAAATCAGAGAGGCTTTACAGTGCAGTGGCTTCTGAGTTGAAACACCGTGTTGGAACAATTGAGTTGAAACCCCGTGTTGAAACTCAAAGTGAAACTCCGAGTTGAAACGCCTGACGCGTCTGCCGGTGAATGGTCACACCTTGCATTGGCGCGCTTTGCCCTCAGGCTGGCCCCAACGCTGCTGCCAACGGACCTGCTTATAACGAGGCAGCTGTTAACGAGTCCGGAGAGCCTGCCGCTGAGCATGGCACTGACGATTTGCGCGCGTGCGAGCATAAGCGTGCACAAACGCGGGCGGATGGGGGGAATGAGCGCATGCAAGCGCATCAGCTTGTGGCGAGTACAAAGTGTACCTGTGGGCATGAGCTTGTGCGTGGCTGTAAGGTTGCTGCAGGGACGCAGAGTGTTGAAGGGGAGGGCGCACAGGGGGAGGGCGCAAAGGGGGGGAGCTGCGGTGGCTGTGGTGTGCAGGCGGATGTGTTGGCGGAGCTACTGGGGGGAGGCCTGGGGAAACTGAGCGCAGGGGAAGTGGGGGAGGCGGGGACGAAGAGAGAGCGGGAGATTGCTGGGAGGGGTGGAGAAGGGGACGGGAAGGGGGAAAGCGAGAAGGGGAGGGGCATGGGGAATGCGGTCAGTCTGGCTTGTGGGATTGGGGGAGGGGGTATTGTTCCAGGGGTTGGGGGCAAGGGTAATGTGGTTGGGAAGGATGAGGAGAGGCTAGGTGAGGATGGGAGAGGGGGAGGGATTTTCGCTGCTGTAGCAGCACCACTAGTTGCAGCAGCAGCAGCAGCTGTAGCAGTGAAACCAGCAGCGGCAGCAACAGCTGTGTCAGCAACAACAGCAGGAGCTGGGGCAGCAGCAGGTGCAGCAGCAGCAGGGTCAGAACCTATGGTGACAGCAGGAGTGGGAGAGGAAAGCATTGAAGGACTGTGGCATGGGTGGGACGGCGAGGGGCAGGGGGGCGGAGAAGGGAAGAGGAGCGAAGAAGGGAAGGGAGGGGGAGAGAAGAAAGGGGGCGCAGAGGGGAAGGGTGGCGGAGAAGGGAATGGAGGTGCAGAGGGGATGGGGGGCGGAGTGCACGAGAGGGTGGATAGTCCGAGGGGGGATGTGAAGAGGAGGGAGGTGCGGTGGAAGGGTAGGGGTGTGGGCGTGGGGGGGACGAGTTCTGCGAGTAGGGTGAGGGGCGGCGAGGCGAGTGAGGGGAGGAGTGTGGGCGTGAACTTGTATGAAAGGGCAACCGCAGCTGACTTTGTCAACAGGAAGCAGATCGGCTCTGGACGGTCAGTATGGGGGATCGGGGGAGCGGGGGGAGGGAGGAAGAAAGGGAGAGGGAGGGAGGGAGGGAGGAAATGGTGGAAGGGAGGACATGGGGAGAGGGAAAGAATGGGGGGAGGGAGATTAAGGCTCACTTCAACTCCCTTTGGAATTGGTCTTTAATTGTCTGGTCCGTACTACCCTTCTCACTCTCTTTCCTCCCAGTAATGCAGTGGTGTATGCAGCCTCGTGGTGCACTATAACGGGTCACAAAGGAGCCTGTAAAGGCGTACTTCCTATGTGTAGCGCTATGGTGTCTTGACTTGTTACTATTCTCAATCATTCTCCCTGTCCCTTCCCAGGAATGCAGTCGTGTATGCGGCCTCGTGCGCTATAACGGGTCGCAAGGTGGCTGTTAAGGCGTACGTCAAGTCAGCTCTAAGTGCCCTGGACCGGCACAGGATCAACCGAGAGGTGGCACTGCTAATGACTCTTAAGTAAGAGCTGCTAATGCTGCGGGTAGGTAAGTGAGAAAAGCTATGTGTTTTCTAATTATTTCTTCCTATTTAACTCCAATACACTCACTCACTGCGTGTTGCCTTCTGATCATCGCTCTTGACTGTAGGTTTCAGTAAACCCCACCTACTGTCCGCCCAGCTCCCCCACCAACCTCCATACCCGCTTCCCCATCCTCCCCCCCTCTCCCATGCAGCCACTAGCACGTACTCCAGAGTCCGGGTCACTTCGAAAGACGGCCTCTGCATAGGCAGTGTGTAGGAGTGGGTGGGCTGTCTGAGAGCGACCACTTGTTGTAACAAGACCCTCCAACTAGTGGGCCGTCTCAATTCCCCATCCCTACTCGATTCATCCTATCCCTGCTTGCATGCAGTCACGAGCTTACAATTCAGGGGCTGGGTTGCTTCGAGGATGCGCTGTGTGTGTACACACTACTATGGGCTGGGCGTCTCAATGCACAGTAGTGGATTGAGGGTTCTCACAGCCCACCTACGACATCACTTCTCCCCACGTTTTGATCCAGTGCCCTATACCACTGCCCACGCCCCCGCATTCCTCTCCATACAGTCACGAGCACATAATCCAGTGGCTGGGTCACTTTGAGGACCCTCAATGCGAGTACATCGTGCAGGAGTGGGCGTGGAAGGGGGGACCTGTGGCACCCCCTCCCTCCAACTCCACCCGCTCAAACCCCTCCCGCACGTCGCTCTACTGCTGCCCACTCCCCCCCATTCCCTCCCGTTCCTCCAGCCACGAGCACATCATTCAGTGGCTGGGTCACTTCGAGGACGCCCAGTGCGTGTACATAGTGCAGGAGTGGGCGTCAGGGGGCGACCTGTTTGAAGAGCTGAGGGCGAGTGGGGGGCACATGGGAGAGGCGCGCATAGCCAAGCACATCCTGCTGCCGCTGATCGCAGCACTGCACCACATGCACACCAGAGGAGTGATGCACCGGGACTTGAAACCGGAGAACTTGCTGTTGACATTCCATGGCACTCTCAAGGTGAGAAGGTGAAGGGGCAGGGGTGGGATTATGCTGCACGAATGGCGAGGGACCCGGATGAGAACCCTCCAGTACATGGCGCCTAAGGTGGTTTGGTGCATATGGCACAACCATTCCACTCGCTCCTCCCGTTTCCCCTCTCTCCCTCCCTCCCTCCTCGCATTCACAAGTGCGTGATTTTGGCCTTGGTATCAATATGAAGGAAGTGCGCCCTGCCAGCCGCCTGGGCGCGCTGCAGTACATGAGGCCTGAGGTGGTTTGGTGCGCATGGGATGGGGTTTCTGACTTCCCACGTTTTCCCCGTCACAGGTGTGTGACTTCGACCTTGCAATTAATATGAGGGAGGTGCGCCCTGCCAGCCGCCTGGGCGCGCTGCAGTACATGGCGCCTGAGGTGGTTTGGTGCGCATGGCACAAGGGGGGATATCAGCCTTTCCCCCTTCTTCCCCTTCACACCCCCCCCTCCGCCATTCCCGCAACCTCCTTCTTATGCAGGTGTGTGACTTCGGCCTTGCCATCAACATGAAGGAAGAACGCCCTGCCAGCCGCCTGGGAAACCTACAGTACATGGCGCCCGAGGTGGTGCGCATGGCCTGGTCATGCCACTCCCTCCTGCTCTCCTCCCTTCCGCCACTCTCCTTGCTGTTCACAGGTGTGTGACTTCGGTCTTGCCATCAACATGAAAGAAGAGCGCCCTGCCAGCCGCCTGGGCACCCTTCAGTACATGGCGCCTGAGGTGGTGCAGATGGCACGAGGGCAGCGCGGGCGAGGGGGGCAGGGCAGGAGGGGCAAGGGGGAGGAGAAGAGAGGCGGGGCGGAGATACCAAAGGGGACGGCAGCAGCAGGGCAGGGGCAGGTGGTGGGTGGTGCGGGTGCTGTCAGTGGTATGGAGGGAAAAAATGGCGCTTCTCCGATGCTTGAGGGGGCGTATGATGAGAAGGTGGACATATGGTGAGTGCTGCTGAGAGAGGAACAGGTGGTAGGTGGTGCTGGTGGTGCTGGCGCTAGTGCTGGTAGGGAAGGTAAGAGTGGCGCCTCTTCAGTGCTTGAGGGGGCGTATGATGAGAAGGTGGACATCTGGTGAGTGCAGCTTAGAGTTCATGTTTGACTCGGTGCTTCCGTGCCCTCTGTGGATCGTGCATGCAGATGTTTTGATTTTGGCCAAAACTTGTGTACCACGTGCTTACCACGTGCTTACCACGTGTTTACCACGTTCTGACCACGTGTTCCTCCTGCCCCGGTGTGCTGGTGATGGGCCATGCTTATGTATTACGTGCTTATCATGTGCTTACCACGTGCTGACCACGTGTTCCTTTTTCCCCCATTGCTGGTCAGGGCATGTGGAGTGCTAGTATACGAGCTGGTGATGGGCCATCCACCCTTTGAGGGCACATCAGACATGCACACAGCAACCAACATCATGCACCGCGAGCTCGTTCCCGATGCTCTGCCCCATGGGATGTCACCTGCATGCAAGGATTTTATCTGCAAGGTGGGTGGGATTGCTTGCGTTGGGAGGGTCTATCTCTTCCTTTTGCCTCTTATTTGGGGGGTCATCAGACATGCACACGGCAACCAACATCATGCACAGGGAGCTCATTCCTGATGCACTGCCGCATGCCATGTCCCCTGCTTGCAAGGACTTCATCTGCCGAGTGAGTAATGTGGCAGGCGTTGGGCTTCTATCCTTGCTCTCCCACCTAGCATCCTTCACATGCACGCATGCACTCATGCACACAGCCATCAACATCATACACAGGAAGCTCCTGCCTGATGCGCTGTCCCATGCCACGGCATGCAGCCAGTTCTTTCCTAACTTCTCTCCCTTGCGCCCCCAGGTGCTTTGCAAGAACCCCTCCGATCGCCCCTCGTTGCTACAAATGCTCGACCACCCCTTTGTGTCAGGGCACTGCCGGGGGCGGCCGCTTTATAAGGAGGTCAGGCAGGCGATTCTAGAGGAGCGGTGGCGGCAAGAGAGGGAGAGGGAGATGGGGGAGGAGCGGAGGAGAAGGGTGGAGGCGCAGCGGGAGGAGGAGAGGAGGAGGGAGTGGTGGGAGGAGCAGCGGAGGGTGATGGTGCTGAGGAAGAAAGAAGGGGAGGGGGGGAAGATGGGCAGTAAGTCATTCCGGAGGGAGAAGGAAGATGGGTTTGGTGAGGGTATGGGGGAGGTTGAGACAGTAACCAGTCCTGTGTGCATCAATCCTCCACCCATCAGTCCTCCATCCATCACTCCTTCCCTGATCAGCCCATCGGCACGTCTCGGCATCTTCCCCCCCACTCGTTTCCCTCCCTCCTCTCCCCTGCCTCCACCTCCCCTTTTAGCCTCCATCTCTTCTCCCTATGCCTCTACACCCACGTCCTCGTTATTGTCACCTGCATCAGGATCACCACCAGCATCACCCCCTCGCACTCTGACGACCTCCCTGCCTAGCCCTACCATGTCCAATCAGCCAATGCCATCAATCGAGCAATCAAAAAGCACTCCTGAGGGTTCTCCCCGGTCAATCCCTGTGTCGACTCCCATAGTCACATCTCTTACAGGAACAGACCAGCCAGTGAATCTCCTGCCCGGTGCCCAAGGGATAGCACAGAAGGCATGGATATTTGCAGCTGGGGTAGGTGCGGGAGGACCCCCTAGGGGAGGAGCAGCTTCAGGAGAAAATTCAAGGGCTGTGGGAGAAGCAGAAGTAACTGGTGTGCGCAAACCGTTCTCTTGGCTGCATCCCTTCCAGGGCTGGACCTTGCCAGTGGGTAAGCAAGCATGATTGTAGGGGTACAGTTCTGGTGGTCTTTAGATGGTTCATTTCTTTTTGTAGGTCTTACATCTTAAAGCTTCACTGTGTAGATGAGACTTGTAAACGATTATACACATTTGCGCATAACATTTGCTCAAAACTTAGAGCATCAACCAGACCACACGACAAGGAATAACGTGGCAGCAAAAACCTTCTTTGGCTCCGAAAAGTTGGACCATGCCTAGCAGGTCCAACGAGATATTTGCTTCAAGCCTAAAATATACCCCTGCCACGTTAGCTTCATTTACCAGGCCTCAATCCAGCCACGGCTTAGCGATAAGAGGGAAATCTTGAAGGTACAGGTAGCAGCTCCCAGGCAGCTGAGCTGACAGAATCTTCACATTAACCAGATTCTCTGGGTTATTTCCGGAGCTATCCACAGTGTGGAATCGACAGTCGCTGCTCCAAAGCGCCATCGAAAAAGAATGGATTGGCGGAACGGATCTGCTTTGATAGATCCTTATCCTGCCATGATCCTCCTGGGCTTGAACAGTTGCTGCGGCGGTAGGGAAGGCGTCTTCAGGCACCAGGAGTTGGTGCTGTTGCTCGGGTACCGGAACGGAAAGTTGTTGCCTTCAAATAGATCAAGCAAGGCCAGCGTCTGCAAAAGAAGGAAAGTAAACAAACCAAGCAACCAGTTAGCGACACAACGAGGATGAGAAAAGCACGAGACGACCACGCGAAAAGCATAAATCTCGTCAAGCAGCATCCGACGTGGCATACCTCGGGAACGGACAGCATGAGCCGGAACTTCGGGCCGTCGTAGTGATGCAGCACTGGTCGAAACTCGTCCTCCTCCAACGCTCTGCACGCCTTGCGAATCCGGATCCGAACCTGCGCGGGGAACCGCGACTCGCCTTTCACCTTCTTGTCCTCCCACGCGGTCGGATCGATGTTCGAGCCTCCGAAGCTCGCGGCTTCGAAAACCCCGTGTAGTTGATGCGTCGTGTAGTTGTACAGGAATAAGGGTAACCCGGGTTGGATGGACCGAACCGAGTCGCGGTATCTCTGTGGTAGGCCGAACAATTGGCGTTTCAGATCTTCCTGCATTGTGTCGTTGTTGCATACGAAGATGTACCCTCCTAAGATCTCGTGCCTTGGGAGAGACTCTGAGGGAGGTAGTGTTTTCTGCTTCTTTTCTGGAGATGACTGCGTGCCTGGTGACTGGTTCCCTTGTGACTGCCTCGCTGGCGACTGCATGATGCCTGGAGACTTCAGAACAGCTAGCGAAAACACTCCGGTTCCTGTCATCTCAATATCCCAGAAACAGCTATACCTTGAAACTGATCGTATGGAAGTAAACGGAAAACTGAGCTGGGTGAGAAGTGGGTTTGAGAACGCCTAGTAGATATGAAAGACTAGGCGAGGAGGGGTCGTAAGGCTGAAGCGAAGTGCAAGACTTGGCGGGAACGGATCTGGCTATTTGAGCTGTCTGCGGTGAGATCGGCTGGAAAGGGCAGACTGGATCTCGCTCCGACGGAAGCGTTGGCGGGGCAAGCTTTGGTCTGGCGGCCTGGAGAAATGATGGTTGGGAGTTGGGGTGCGGCAGAGTTTATGCAGTGAAGCGAAGAAACAGATCGAGTGACGAAAAGTTCCCGAGGATACCGGAATTTATCCCCAAAGCGCGCCCGGGCGTGTGGGCTGAGGGGCAGACTGCGAAGCTGGAAACGCAACTTTGACACGCAAACTGTCCAACCAAAAACTTCGTAAAGGTTCCCGTGCAACTGGAGTCATGAATGGAGGTCCGTGAACATTCATTGATAGGGTGCTTACCCCCACTTGTCTCGGTTTGCAAGGAAATTATGCACTCCGACCTATATCAACGGTTCCACGCATTTTTCAGGGAACACTGTCCTTCAATGATGTACAGAGAGGAGTTTCCAGGCGATATTGGATTCCAGATTCCACAAAAAACTACTAGATCTGCATCGTACCCAGAAGAAACACACACCCTTGTCCCGCGATTTGGTCCCACCGACAGCGAAAGCGCGGTGCAACTTCGAACACCACCACCAACCCCGTCCCATCCAGCTGCTCGAATGTTCGTTCGGTCCGGTCAGAGAAATTTGGGTACAGTAAAAGAGGAGATGAAGGGGGCCACCTTGATGAGGTCACCTTGGAGACCTCGGGCGGGCCGAGTGGGTCCGCCGCACCAGTTTCCTCCCGAATTTCTAGCAAGGTCCATATCGGTCAGGTTTGGTGGAATCGCGGGTGCGTCCTTCAGAAACTTTGCTTCGTCATTCTGGTCCGGCCTGGCTCTCTGAATCCGTAGATCCCGCGAGGCAAGGAGGATGCAAGCCTGGGGTCCAGCCAAAATCCGTTCAAGCCACCGTTTGCTGCCACGCACGATGTTCACTCTGCCACGCATACCCTGCAGGTTTGGGTGCGACGTCACCACCACCTTCGCATGTTTGCGTGACGACGAAGTATACTTTTTAGGAATGGACCCGTTTTATGAAGCAAATCCTGACCTGGCAGGTGGGAGTGCGAAGTTGCTATCTGGAGTAACTTCTTGAGCTCAAGAAGCTAGTAAAAATGAGTCTATAATACTTTGCGTCCTTAAAAAAAGTAGATACATCTTACTTGATATGATATACTATTTGCACATCTTTAGCTAGTTAATATGAAATGTTTGAATGTTCTTACGGTATCAGGTCCTATAATATTACTGTAGGTGCAAACCTTTCATCCACTTTGTCCCAGTCTAGGTCCACCTGGTATCCGATTGGGCCTCTCTCCAATAAATAGCTGTTACACGCACAGTATATAACTTCAGTATGGTCTTCACCAAACGCCGTCATTCTACAATCAAGATAGTGCACAGCCAGCTGGCTCCTTCATGCATGCTCAAAGTCGCTGTAAGCCCCCGGAGTCTAGAGGAACTAGAGCTTCTCATTGAATAATAAATGGTATGTACACGCAAAATGTGCCGTTTTTCCGAAGAGAAGCAACGAGCGAGCTGCTTCATAAGAACTGAAGACGCCTAGAAGGCCTCCAAACTTGCGTTCGTTTAATTATTAGTATGCTGCGAGTAGCAGTGGTCATTGGACCAGGCCCAGAAAACGTTCCTCAGCCAGCCATTAGGCGGCTGCAGCCATGGTACGGAGTGGAGAGAGGAGGGCTCTTGCGACACCAGCTGTTGAAGTGGCTGAAGTATTGATACGGGAAGTTGTTCTCCTCGAATAAATCCAGTAGCGCAAGTGTCTGCAAACGAAAAACACTGACGATAAATTAGTAGTCCGACGTCGGTTGCTTTCTTATAATCGCAAACTGATATGGAACGGCGCTCACCTCAGGAACGGAGAGCATCAGTCTGAACTTGGGCCCGTCGTAGTGGAAGAGGAAGGGCCGAAACTCCTCCTCGTCAAGAGCTCGACAGAACTTGCGAATCTTGATGCGAACTTGGGCAGGAAACCGGGACTCGCCTTTCACCTTCTTGTCTTCCCAGGCAGTCGGGTCAATGTTTGTGCCGCCGAAGCTCGCGGCCTAGCATGAAGCAAAACGAAGTTCGTCAGGCCGACAAATCAACGGAAATAGGCGATGGATAAACGGATTATATGAACGTGTTTTCACCTCGAAAACTCCATGAAGCTGGTGCGTAGTGTAGTTGTACAGAAAGAGGGGAAGGCCTGGTTGAATTGCTCGCACGGAGTCGCGGTATCGCTGGGGAAGCCCGAAGAGTTGTCTCTCTAAGTCTTCGTGCATCGTCTCGTTGTTGCAAACAAAAATGTAACCTCCTAGAATTTCATGTCTGGGTAGTGTCTCTGCTGGAGGAAGGGTCTTAAAGCGTTTGTCGGGTGACTGGGGAGACCCTTGAAGCGAGGACGAATATCCTCCAGTTCCTATCATTCTTACTTATGGCTGTGCAACAAAACTCGAAACCCTAAAACGAAAAAATATTAGTTCTAAGGAATAGAACGATCGAGGTGCTACTGGAGTGGTGTTACTGGAGTCAGCGATAGCAGCTGCGTTGAAGCAATGTGGAAATAGCGAGGCAAGGTCAACAGGAGGATGCGGGAGAGGTGTGGAGGGTTGTAAAGCCAAGCAGCAAAATGCAGAGCACCGAACAGGCGTTGCGAGGAGAAATCGGGAAAGTTGGGAGCGAGTAGAAGCGCCAGGAGAGGTGGACGACAGATGTTGTGGCCTTCAACTGAGGTGAGGGGGCATTTGACGATGTGTACGTGGGGCGAGATGACCGCGTCTCGACCGACATGAACCTGGAAAGCGGAATCGCTGAGCCTGTTTCGGGAATTGGGATACAGTGCACCAGTCTCCAGCTGGGTGTCACGTCGATGCCAGCTAAAGCAGCCGAACGAGCAGGTCATGCCAGCGCAACGACGACCAAATGAAACGCGTCTGGTGTCAGCCGAATGTACAGAACCAGTTCAGTTGGTTTCAGGAGTACAGCTGTACAGCAGAACTCAGGTCGGCACATGGCAGAGCGCGTTTCATGGTGGACAAGTGAATCCTGCCTACCAAACCAAGACCGAATCAACCAGCTCTTGTGGGATGAACTGTGATCGGACCTAGTCTGACGTGTTTAGCAAGGCTGAAAATAATGAATTGACACGGTCCACGAGATTTGCGACCAGCTGTACGACTGACACGAGTTTCTTCAAGAGGCATTTGAAATTCTGGTTTCCGAATGTCATCGCAGCAGTTCCTCCTGAATCTTCATCACCATCCACATTGCTGCAACATGGGAGCTGGCGACAGTGCCAGAATCTCTGATTCGCTGTAACTATGACAACCCGTTTATTTACTAACGCGATAAGCCGAAGAGTACGTGACTTCTGTTACTCCAGATGCAACTTCATTAAAGCCATGCAATTCAATAATTTTGTGTCATGAATTCACGAGCTGACATGCAAATCTCACACAATCCTATCACCGTGAACTAACTTGCCCTCATCAGCTTCTTATCCTCTACTATGCAATCACGTACCACATAACAGACCCCTCGTTTCAGGCTCCAATCTATCCACAAGCACTGGTGACAGCACACAAGACTCTCCTCACAACCCTTGCTCCTGCATGGCGCGCACGCGGGTAGGCAGCCCATACAGGCGGATGAACCCAGCAGCATCAGCCTGGTTGTACACCCCACTGCCCTCCTCGAAGGACGAGATATCCTCCCTGTAGAGCGAGTACGGTGAAACGCGCGTCGCCACATTCACCGACCCCTTGTAGCACTTGAGCTTCACAGACCCAGTCACCTTCTCGCTCACAGACACCATGAATGCATCCAGGGCGTCCCTCAGGGGGTCGAACCACCGGCCGGCATACACAAGCTCGGCGTATTTCAGAGCCAGCTGGTCCTTGGTCTGCATGGTCTCCCTGTCGAGAACCAGGGCCTCCAGCTCCCGGCACGCATTCGCAAGAATGGTCCCACCGGGAGTTTCATACACGCCGCGGGACTTCATCCCGACAAGGCGATTCTCGACCATGTCAATGCGGCCGACGCCGTGGCGTGCACCGATCTCATTGGCTGCTGCGAGGAGGTTGGCGGGGGAGAGCGCCTGGCCGTTGATGGAGACGGGGATGCCCTTCTCGATGCCGATCTCCACGTACTCGGGCGTGTTGGGGGCGTCCTCAGGGTCCACTGAGATCACGTACATGTCCTTGGCCGGCTCGTTTGCCGGGTCCTCCAGAATGTCGCCCTGGCGGAGGGACGGGAGAGAGAGTGGAGGAGACAGGTTGGGAGTGGTAGAGGGGTTAGAAGGGGGAATGTCAAGCTGAGCGTGCATGAATGGGCAACAATGAATGGGTCGCTGAGAATGATGAGTAAAGAGAGAGGGACATATCAACAGTGAAGCGAGGACAGTGCCCATTGCGACGCCTGGAGAGGGGGAGGCGAGGCAGGCACGGGGGATAAGAAACGGGACTCCTGGGGCACTCGTGTTCATGCTGGACGGTCCTGGTGATTTTCATTTTACATGAGGACCGAATTGCATTCGTTTGTCGCTCCGACCAATGCTTTCGCAAACACCATAGAGAGGACAATCATTCAGAAAAAGAGGCAGGGATGGCACATGCACTGCTCGTACCTCGTGACTGATGTGCCACAGGTTGCGGTCGCGGCTGTAGATGGATTTCTTTGTAACGGGGACGGGCACGTTGTGCTTCTTGGCGTATTCAATGGCGTCCTCGCGGCCGCGGATGTCCCACTCGCGCCACGGCGCGACGACTTGCAGCTTGGGGTCGAGCGAGAAGAAGGTGAGCTCGAAGCGGACCTGGTCGTTGCCCTTCCCCGTGCACCCGTGCGCCACGGCGTCCGCGCCCACCTGCTTCGCCACGTCCACCATCGCCTGGCAGGACGGGTGGAGGGGCATGGGAGGTGCGGGGCGGGTGGGGAACGGGGAGGAAGAGAAAGCAGGATTGGAGTTTAGGAAGTGTTCTGGAATGCGTTTGTTGCTAAAGGTTGGCATCCGATGGATCAGGAATACCTGGGTGAAGTTATGACAAAATAGTGACAATGCAGATTTCCAGGGTGTCACAAAATAGGGACAATGCAAATTGGACGAGCAGATCGTGGGAAGAGCTCAGCTCTGACCTGTTGAAAGCTTTATGTAATCGCCAGAAGACGGAGCGACAGAAGCGGAGTCCCTGAAGGGAAGATCGTGTGAGGCTTCGATGGAGACACAACGGAGAAAAAGAGCTCACCTTGGCGATGACAGGGCGAGCCATGGACGTCCCGAGCAGGTACTTGCGCTCGTACACCGCACCAGCGCGAATGCAGGGGAAGACATAATCGCGTACAAACTCTTCCTTGAGATCTCCAATGAACAGCTGGCTAGCGCCGCTCGCCTTCGCCTTGGCATCCAGCCCATCGGTCTCGCCTACGCCCTGACCCACATCCGCGCAGAAGCAGACCACCTCGCAGCCGTAGTTCTCGCGCAGCCATGGCACGATCACGGACGTGTCGAGCCCGCCGCTGTAGGCGAGAACGACCTTCTTGAGGTTGCCGCGGAGACCGCCGTCTGACTTGGTCGCTGTTTCAGCAGCTGGTGTGAAGGGGAATGAACAATAATGAGATTTAATTGATGAGTTGTACGATTGGAACTTGTTTTGCTGAAATGAGTGGCTGCGTGTCTTCATGAAGCACGAATTTTTTCAGGTCTATGAATGTTCTCTTTTTTCGATTAATGTCTTCCTTTTCTTAGAAAACAGATCAAATGATGCTGTGAAAGGGGAAGGGAAGAGCTGCTGGGGTTCGATCGCTCACCAGAAGCCATGGCTTTTGCGACAAGACGGGGGCAGTTCTGAGAGCGAGCGCTGCACTTGGCTGTGCTCTGTCAAAGGAAACAGCAGGCGGAAACGATAACGCACACGGACGGGGTAAGAAGATGACATCAGATAAGTGGAAAAGAACGAGATCATGAGGTTAATGCAATACCTTAGGCTTCAGACTGGAAGCCTTCACTAGGCTCTTGCCTAGCAACTCGCTGCTCTGAACCGAGAACCGGAGCGTCATTGCGGAAGCCATGGCTGGATCGGCTGAAAGAAGGAAATAATGGTTGGAGCTTGAAGCCGTAGCAGCCTACCAAGGTGGAGAATCGGAATCAGCAGGGGAAAAGGAATCCGTGGGCCACAGAATGTGAGTCTGTTGGAGGGATTCCAAACAGATGAATGGTTTGCCTGATTGAAAATGGAAGGTACCACTCGGTACAAATACAGTGCTGTAAAATCCGTGCTACATTCATCCCCAAATCTGGTAGAGGGGTTTAAAACCGGGGTGCACATTCAGCTGAATGTGCATCAAAGGTTATCCCTTGACTGAGTGGGTTACGAGGTGTGCTTTCAACCCCTTCAAGTCGAAATTCGTTTCCCCCCTCCCCCGCAATTTCGTTTCCCCACGCCCCCGCAATTTCATTTCCCCCTCCCCGTCGAAATTCGTTTCCCCCCTCCCCCGCAATTTTGTTTCCCCCCTCCCCCGCAATTTCGTTTCCCCCCCCTCCCGCCAATCTGTTTCATCCCTCCCGCCATTCGGTTTCACCCACTCCCGCCATTTCACCCCCTCCCGCCACCTACGAAATGCCCGAAGCTCTAGCGGAATCATTTTTTTGTCGCCCCTCGTGAGCCAATCACTGTTTTTCTCCAAACCCCCTTCCCAACATCTCAAGCCGAACCGCGTTGAATGTGCACCCTGGGGCTGCTCCAGCTGCCAGCCATTCACGCCTTGGGGCTGACGAAAGCAGCCGCAATTGTAGGAACATACGGGTAACCAGCTAGCATTTCAGGCCAATCACGCACGCTAGCAGAGCGTCTACTATGATTTGGGATGACTTGGCACGTCGGGGATTCCAGACGACTTTCGGCACCACGTGACGGCTGAGCGGAGTCTGCCAATTGGTTCAAGTTTTGGAGGGGCGCCACGAAGCTTGTCTACGTGGCTCCGAAGTTTGAAGTAGCAAAGTGTTTAACATTTCAAGTTGACAAGTATGCGCTTCACAAATTGTTGGTATGAAGTGTAGCACCTTACCGTTCGTAAGAAGAGGCTGTTATAGAGAGTATGATGCCTCATTTTCTGGGCCCATCCCGCTACTTCGCGAACTGGAGCGAGGATTCGTGAATCCATCGCACAGTTCCCCCAATCCACGTCTTTCGTGGGAAAAAGAAAGCCAGCTGTCCACCGTTCCGTGCTCCTGTGACCTGACAGGGGCATTGGGTGTGTCACCACACCAGCTATCCAGTCAAGTGTGTGGACGAGGATGTCACACCAATCAGTCTGTTCTTGGCTCCATGAGGCTCTGGAGGAGTTTTTCTCAGAGTCGACACTATGACCTCAGTTATTTGTCACTTCCACAATTTCCACCAGTATCCACTCCACAATCGATGTGCTCTCCTGCAGAGTACGCATTCATCACTCGTCCAATCCAGACAAGTGAGGCTATTGTTTGTTCCAATCTTGCCCCTGCCTCTTGTGCGACCAATCTGTTCGTTCGGTTTCTCAATGGCCGCGGTAGCAGCAGCAGCGGTAGCAGCAGGAGCGGTCGTCGCATCGTTGCCTTCACGTGCGGCAGTCAGGTCACTTCAAAAGACATCGTCAACCGGGCGATCCTTCGGCAGACTCGTGTCTACCGCGCTTCTCACAGCTCACAGCAGCCAATTGGCTTTTTTCAGCGGCTGCCAGATCAGCCATGCCTTGTCAGACCCTTCCGGTAGCAAGACTCGCAGACGATTCTCAGCTGCAGCTGGCGCCCGAGCGATGGGTCGTAGTGACACCAAGTCGATTGAGCAACTGGTGGAGCTGGTGAAGCAGAAGAACGGAGAACACCCTGTGGTCGTCTACTCCAAAACATGGTGCCCGTGAGTTTTTGAAAGAGGTTTTGATTTTGTTGTAGAAACGCATTTGGGAACGGTCTTTGTTTAGTCGAATTCAGAATGAAGCACTAGAAAGTTGATTTTATCAGCGTAAAAACTCCCATCGATGACCGCATGAAACTCTGCTGAGCACAGAGAAGCTTTCAGTTAACTAAGAATATTTTCTGGGCCTCCATGTGCAACCTTCACAGCATCCTGCATCGTGAATTCGTGTGTCAATGCCTTACTTCTTGATTGCTGCTGTAGATACTGCATGGACGTGAAACGGCTCCTTTCCAAGCTTCACACTAACATGCTGGTTGTGGAGCTGGATGAACTAGGTGAGTTGAGGCAAGGAAGAGTGTGGGACAGTGTCACTGTTGAGCAGGTGTTGCTGTTGGACGAATGAGCTGCGTCTGCTCTTCTTGTTTGCTTGGTTTAAAATGCGAAGACACTGAACATGCTCTCGTTGGTTGCAGTGGAGGAAGACGAGCTTCAACAAGCTCTGTATGATCTCACAGGCCAGCGCACCGTTCCCAACGTCTTTATTGGTGGAAAGCACATTGGCGGCTGTGATGGTGAGTCCATGGTGTTACCTTTGGTGAAGTGTGTCAAGCGCCTCTGGCCTCTCGCAGTTACAGCTATTCTATTTTTTATTCACCATTTTCGTTGCCTCGTCATACCGTTCGTCATTGTGTGCAGCAACGGTGTCATTGCACATGCAGGGCAAGTTGGTTCCTCTGCTGGCTGAAGCAGGTGAGCGACCCCTCCTTCACAATCTTTTGCGCGCACTGATCCTCATCAAGCCATAAACGGAGTTGACAAAGTCTGGTCTTTACCTTGCAGGTGCTAAGGAGTGAATGAACGGATGATGGATGGGTTATGTTGAACAGAACGAAGCATGATGTTAAGCTGTAATATATGTGCATGAATTGCCAGACTTTACAAAGAGATACCGGGGTGGAAATGTACTTCCGGAGCAGCAGCTGCACATGCAAATAAGCCAGTTGGGTTCCACTTCACCAATAGGAGGATTTAGGTCCGCTTTTTCCATGGTGACGTTTGGCGCCCATCCCATGCCGCTGCTACAGCATCTTTGCTTCTGAGCTCTCTGTGCTTGCTAGCAAGCTATGGTGTATCAAATAAGAGTGATAATCTCAATACAAAATCCCTTGGAACAAAGTTTGTTACAACAAAGTGTACTGGGGAGTCACCTGGGAACCCAGTCTCACCTGGGTGGTCCGATCGCCATTGTTGCCTGCGGCGCCCGATTTTCGTCAGAATCTCGTGCGTTCATGCCTGACCAATCAGTATTCGAGTCAGAAACGATGACCAATACGCTCCGTCGATTTGACATGAAACACTTCGCAAGCAACTGCAGGGAGCTTCAGAATTTGTGCATTGCTACCGTCATCACCCGGATATAAGACAGTGTTGTATAGTAGACAGGGGTTGTCTACTATACGGGTGTCTCTTATAAACAGGCTAGCCTCATTATAAGACACCTATTTGTGTGTATGAGATAATACATATATGTCTTATAATCGAAACTTCAATAAATTATAGCGAAAGTTGAAGTACCGCGTACTTTTTTACCCTTGCGAAGCGCGAATTCTTCCACGCGCTGACCCAGGACCTACCAAATTTGCCCCTGCAGGTGTTCTCCATAACGTGGCGTCTCGGGCAGAGGTTATCGAAGTGGCACCTTCGCAACATCCACACGCATTATGAGAAACTCTTTTTAAAGAAGTACGGAAAATATTTCTAAGTAGTTTAAAAAGTTTCCATTTATAAGACTTATAAGACACCCTAAACCATCCCGTTTACAAGATAACTCAAGCATTTTTGCCCGTGTACGAGATAAGACATATATGTCTTATATCCGGGCGATGACGGTATGGCATCCCTCCCTTCCGTAGTCGTCCGTTCTTCCCAGATGCCTATGTACTCCCTAGGCGTCACTAGGCGCTAATAGTCGCCTCGGTGCTCTCTCAACGCGGTGTTTGAAGTGCAGGAGTGGTACAAATCGGAACCTGTCTACAAATCAGAGCCTACAAGGCGAACAGCTTCCTATCCACCCTGTCGGTTGTTCGCCAGCTCGTTTGACGATTATGCATTCAACATGGCGTTGCTCGGATCAGTGCTTTTTTCGTTGATCCTCGTGACAATGGCGAAGGCGACGGCCGCCGAATTTCAGTTAGTCGATGATCAGCTTTTGCACTCCGAAGCTCGTGACCTTTTATATGTACGAAACTGTTATTGCCGAAATTCATACACGTTTTGTGAAGACAGTACGATACACTCAATTAATTTCGAGAGTGTACCACAGTACTCGGCAGGCCCCCAGAAGTCAGAGAAATTTCTCTGATTTGCCTAAAAAAGTCGGATATTTCAGCCTTTTTTTTTAGTGAACTCTGAAAGTTTAGAGTTTTTTTTGCTGTGAACTCTGAATATTCAGAAAAAAAATGTAGGCCTTGTCTGATTTTTCAGCCATTTTCTCAGAGTGTACTCTGATCCATGAGCGGTTTAGCGGGTACCTACTCTGGTATTCCTGTGCGAAATCTGCCCTAACAGCCGCGATGAGCGCTGCAAGTACAGTTCAGTCCTGTCTGTCAGTCAAGCTGAAACAGTGACAGCAGTGTCGCGCGGCGCAATCACCACCTCGTTGTAGGCTGATCCATCAGCTTCCATACTGATGTGAACTCTGTGTAATCAGACTTTTATACTCTTGAACTCTGAAATTTCAGAGTTATTTTTTGTACCAAGTCTGATTAATCAGACTAAAAATGTGTACTAATTCTGACGAATCAGACAGCCCCAAAACGAATCTGAGGGCCTGGTACTCGGCCTGTCAGCGTGACGTGTATCAGTTGTCCCTTGATCTTTTTGTCTGCGGGTCATCATTATCCGACCGTCGCAGGCATGGACAAAGCTTTACAACCTTGACGATCGCGAGAACCCTCCGGCGCTCTCCGCGCTCGGCGCGCAGCTGCTCAACGGATCCTTAAAACCGGAGGGTCAAGAAGCACAAAACTGGTTCAAGCTTCCTAACCTTGGTTGGGTGTAACCCGGTTCCCACCAGGGGCCAACAAGGTCAACACACAAGGCCCAAACTCAACTCTCGCCAACCAAAAGCACTGTAGCAACGGCGTTTCAGCCCTATGAACATCGCACGGAAAGATCGCCCAACACCAACCTCAACAAACATGACCCACTAGCCCAAGAACTACTATTATAGTCGCTGAGCAAGAGCTATTCGCCAACAAACCGCACTGGACGTATGCGCAGCTCGATAACAACGTCCGGTGCGTGAACATTGTCGTCAACGCAACCACATTGCCGCACAAAGCCTTAGGAATCTACTAATGACGAGAATAAAGTACAATCTAATGCCATCGGGACGACCACGTACGGCCTTAGCAAGATCCTATGCGATGGCGCGTCGCGCCCAGATTCTTTAGGGTTACGTTGCTCATAGCTCCACGATTGCTAAGACGCATCTCGCACTCGGCACGAGTGTGAAACATTCGTGACATTGAGGGTTCGCCGCGGCTCACTCGCGTTAGGCATTTCGCCACGGCACACTCGCGCCGTCGCATGCGCCGCTGCTCCCTCGCGCTGTCGCATTCGCCACGGCACACTCGCGCAAGCACATTTCCCGCTGCACACTCGCGCTGTCGCATTGTTCTCAGTTAGCCTGGCGGGCGGCTGCCACGTCGGCGCGTCGCGGCTCGAGAGAAGGCCAGCGAATCGTGGCTTTAGTGACGTCATCTTCTCCTGCCCCTGGTGTGAGCGACGTCACCTCGGGATCTCCGCGTACCTCGAGAGTTTCTGGACCGTCCGATCGCATCAATCTGTCCCCGTTACAAACCGTCGATCAAACTCTTCAAACCCCACCGCCATCAATCATGCTGACATCATCCGTTCCGCTCCGCCATCCCCTTACCAGTTCCTTCTCCGCGCGCATCCCTTACGCTGATGAGATCGCTGGGGGCTTCATTGCGCTCTAAGCCCCCTCCTCCCTCTCAGTTTACTACGCACCATCTCGCACCTCACCTTTCATTCAACCATGCCTATCCCTCTCCTCGTCTCGCCCTCTTCCCCGTTGCAGCGCCATTCCACTTCGCCCCGCTCCCAGCCCCAGCAGCAGCCAGCGCGGATCAGATTGCGGGCGGTGGAGGCGGGGGGTCGGGGGAAGGCGGGGCGGAGGCGGGAGGCGGAGGGGAGGGGCGGAAGGAGGAGGTCGGGGAGTGGCGGCAGTGGATCCAGCAGGCGCAATCCATTGAGTGCTGCTGACACGTGACAGTCTCACACACAAAACACGTGGCAGTGTCACACGCTAGGCTCCAATGAATGCAGTTACAATGTAGCAGCTTCTCACTCCAAGCTCTAGGTAGCCAGGTCATCCCTGCCACGCACGCGCTGTTTCATTGGTGGAACCTTGTCCTGCCACGTGGCTCTCAGCAGCGCGTTTGGCTTACATGTGTATTGCATGTGTGCTGCTTGTGTGCTGCACGTGTGTGTGCATGTGCGTGCCTGGTCGCCTGGCAGAGGACGGCGAGGGGGGAGGCGGAGAGGGGCGTTAGCAGCAGGCGCGCATGGCAATAGATGGGTGGTCCATCGCACGTTACCTCCCCTCATATTGTGTCGTCCGTCCATTTCACTATGCCCATGCGCTATTTTCCTTGCCTCCGCTCCTCTTCCCCATTCCTCACCTCCCTGACATTTTCCATTCCCCCCATCTCTCTCTCTTCTGCCTACATCGCGCCCCCCACCCCACATCCTTCCCTGCATCTCTCCCTGTCCTCCCACCCCCCGTCCCTGACCCTCAAAGCAGCCAAGCTAAGCAGGCAATCGGGCATGGACATATCTCAGCCTCTCCCAGATGGCACGGGGGACTTGCTTTAGCAATCTGCCCACCCCAACCACCAAGGAGACTCTGCGTGCTGCTGACTTCCACGTGAGATGAGGGGAGGGATGGAGAGGGGGCAATGAAGGCACAGGGGGGGGAAGTGAGGGCGGATAGGCACAGGGAGGGAGTGGGCAAGGGGAGGAACAGAGAAGTGGCGAAGTTGGATTGTGAAATATGTATATGGGAGTCTGGGCAGCACACAGGGGCATAGTGGAACGGGAAACTCTGCTGACTGGGTCAAGAGGTAGGTGCATGTGCTTCTTGAGAAATCTGAAATTCAGGTGCATGTGCTTCCGGCAAGATCAGACCCAGGAACAAGGTGAGCCCGCAGTCTCACTCTCCTCATGTTAGGTTCCAAGTTGCACTACTGTCTGTGCTGTCTACTCTCACTCCTCGTACAAGTTACAGTGCGCACTGCCATGTGTGCTGCCTGCCTATCCTCCTCACTCACACTCCCTGTAAACCCTTTTTCTCCACATTAACAAGCACACTTGCATGTCATTCACCTCCACTCCTCATGCCATGTCGCCGTCCGTCACTATCCACGCCTGCAGTGCAGACTCGGCTGTCTGCCAAGGCGCAGCGCCGCGTGGCTCGGGAAATGCGAACTGCGCGGGTGTTCGGGCTCATGCCTTACACGCAGTCAGGGCGCCGCCGTTTAGGTTCGGCAAGGACCCGAACCTGGAGTCGGGGGAGCCGGACGAGGAGGAGCTTGACATGGCAGCTGCTGTTGTGGGGGACGATGAGCTGTAAGGCCATGACTGGGAGATAGCATGCTCAGGGTAGTTGGAGACTAGAGCAGGAAGAATCTGCATCATGCACATTGGCTTATCGCTGTGATCCAGTGTTAGAACTTCATTGTGTATTTTGTTTTGCTGAAGAAAAAATCAGTAGCGTGTGGCCTTGAAAGTTGACCTAGCAAAGATGCCATCAAGTGCTTCCTACAATTGACTGAGTGCAAGATACAGATCTGTAGCCTAACTACTCTGCCCACTTCCCTAACATCCTTGTGCATGGTCATCTCAGCACCATCAGTATCTGAGGTTGACACCTGAGTGCTCCCCATTCAGCCTCATTTAGGACATCTCATACGCCGCTGCATCTGCTGCACTGCTCCCGTAACTCCCGTAACTCCCGTAACTCCCACCATCGCCCGCCCTCCGTTGCACCACGTTGGGCGGCAGCCCTCTCAAGGGCAAGTGCTGCTCCTCTGCCACCGGCATCGCAAGCACAGCCCTGGAAAGCCATCTCATGCCTCCAGGAGCGCTTGCGCCTGCTTCCGGCAGCGAGGCAGCAGCGCCTGCCTCCAGCATGGAAGCAGCCAAGGTGGCAAGGGTGTCGCCACAAGCTACGTGCTCGCACACGCGGAGAATGCCCATTTGAAGGTACAAACTCATTGTGTCGCTGATGCTGGACAGCCGTGCAAACACGTCAATCTGCGGCACGGGATGGCGCATGTGGGGGCAGCACATGAGGGGGGAACCTAGGAAATGAGAGAGAAAGGTGTTGATTGGAGCATAGAGTAGGGCGGCAAATGCAGGGAGGGAGCTCAAGCGTGGAGAGGCATAGAGAGCCACATATTTGGAGGTCTGAGTGGTTTGAACTGATTTGAGAAAAATGTGTTGCAAGAGTCAGCAAGCACTCAAGGTTGTAAGCTCACCCCAGGGTGTGACTGCATGTAGTAGTGAAGCTCGAAAAGGCTGACTGCTCCTTGCTTGCGGTCCACTATCTTGCGCACTATGCTCTGCAGCTCGAGATGGTCGCATGCAGGAGAGGCAGGGAGAGAGAAAGAGAGAGAGAGAGAGAGAGAAAGAGAGAGCGAGAGAGAGAGAGAGAGAGAGAGAGAGAGAGAGAGAGAGAGGGAGATGGTTTGAGCAGGATTTCCTTACAAAGCAGAAACAAGACTCAGAAAGACTGGCCGACAGGGAGCGGCCACACTGGGTACAGGTCGGTAACTGGCATGCCTTTAGGTGGGTACACAAGGTGACGGGCTCACCTGGTCAAGCAGCGAGGAGTCATCAGGCACTGCAGCATCGGCAGCAGCAGCGGCAAAGGAGCGTTCAAGCCCAGTAGCAGCCGCAAGTCATCGCCCGGGATGTGCATGCTCACTGAGTTGGTCTCGAGCAGCTGTGCTCAGGGGGATGGGGAGGGGAGGGAGTTGGCATCGGATGAACACTGGATGGCGTGGAGAGAGGGGTTTGTTTTGTCTAGGGTGTTTACACTTGAAAGTTGCACACAGCTGCAGGGAGGGAAGAATAGGAGGGGCCAGGGTGGGGCAGGGTGGCAGGCTAGGGCAGGGCGTACCGTGAGCAGGGAGTTGAGTATGTACTTGTAGGTCTTGACCTGTGCGTCGGGGACGGAGCGCACGAAGAACTGCACAAACTGCGCAGTGCGGGCGAATGGAGCAGAGGGGAAGGGAGAATGACAAGGGTAGCAGGGGGAGGGGGAAGTGGAGGCGACGGGAGGGGGAAGTGGAGGGGACGGGAGGGGGAAATGGAGGCGACGGGAGGGGGAAGTGGAGGCGAAGGGAGGGGGGAGTGGAGGCGACGGGAGGGGGAAGTGGAGGCGACGGGAGGGGGAAGTGGAGGCGACGGGAGGGGGAAGTGGAGGCGACGGGAGGGGGAAGTGGAGGCGACGGGAGGGGGAAGTGGAGGCGACGGGAGGGGGAAGTGGAGGCGAAGGGAGGGGGAAGTGGAGGCGAAGGGAGGGGGAAGTGGAGGCGACGGGAGGGGGAAGTCGATGAACATGGTGTAGCAGGAGACGTAATGAACTAGCAGCGCGACTGAAAGGGCGTCGCGCTGCGACGGGAAGAAATAGCAGCGCGGCGAGCCCGGGATGGGAAATTCCGGCACGAGCAAACCCTAACCGCTGTGTGAAGGGCTTCGTTCACGGAATCCGCACCTGGAGGCGTTGACGCCGGCAGTATCTCTATTTTTGTCCTTGTTACACGACTTTGAAATCTACGTGTTACGAAGTCACTGGTCGTTGGAATGTTACGTGACGGTGGGTCACTCTACTTGCTCTGATTTACGTTGCATAGATACCAACGTAAGGCTTACTAAGGTCCTAATAGAAGTGTTGTTGGGGCGTGACACTCAGAAATGTGGATGGGTCGTGGGGAAAGGTCGCTGGTGGGTTTGTGCGATTGAGGTGTGGGCATGTTGGCCGTCGCATTATGTGTCAGGTTACTTTGGCGAGGTTTGGCATAGTTCGCGACGTTCGTCCAACCTTTTTGACGTTTCAGTCCCTTCGTGTACCCATGGCATATCTGTTCCCAACCAAGCTTCCTAAGCTTGAACTTCTTGGCCCGCGGATTTTAAAGCGGCCTGATTGGTCGCCGGGTCAGCCTGCTAAGCCTGCTGAGAACAAACCGACGACTTCGGATGGTGTTGGGAGTACAGCGGGGGAGGCGCGGGAAGCAAAGGCCGAAAATGGACACAGCAAGGTCCGAAGGTTGCAGTCTCAGGAGATTCCGTCCAGGGATGATGAGGAAGATCAGTCTCCTCCGTCAAATGCGACCGATTCGCTGCAGGATTCAGTCAAGGAGGCGCAATCCCTGCGCGCACCCGTTCTTGCGCCGCATCTCCAAGATTGCGCAGAAACCACACGCGCATCGGAGGGGATGGACAGGCGCGGGGCAAACGGAGAACCCCCTGCGTGGACGGGTGTAGGCAGATACTCCCCGAAGGCGCGCAGCAGCGGCGGGGAGCCGCGCACGCCATGGGTGGCGGGGGAGTAGACGTGAATATCCTGCTGACGCACACAGTCCAGCGTGATCTCTGGCTTCACCAGTTTCCCGCCAACTGCTCCTCCCCCTCCCACCGCTTCCTCATTGCTCCATGGATATATTTCGGCGGGCATGGGTTCGGATCCCAGCTGCACATCATGACCGTCCATCTGGCCGTTGCAGTTGTGACGAACCGGATCCTCGTACCGCTTCCTGGAAGCTTCAGTCGCGCGAAGCACCCGGGGTGTCCTGGAAACGTCTCCGGCGATCTGAGTTGCTATTTCTTTCCTCCAGTCTCACAGGAGTGCATTGAGAGAGCGCAGAGGCTAAGGGAAGATGAGGTAGTGCAAGTGGGAGCGAACGCAACAATAGGAGCTACCAAGAATGGTAGTCCCAGGTCGGGGGAAGGGAAGTGGTCCCTGTGCGAGGATGTGATGGAGGCAGCGTTGAGTGACAGCGTGGCAGTCCAGCCTCGCATGCGATGCTTCTCTGATCGAGAGCTCGTTCCTGAGTAAGCCCTCTTTTGCCTGACTCTGGCTCTGAACATTCAGACTGTTTTCGCATCATGACTGGATCCCCATACTCCTGGCGCAAAACCTAACTGAGGTTCCGGTTTCCTGTTTGATTGTCACCCCTTGTGTCTATCTCCTCCTGCAGCAAGTGGGGGGAGCCATGGGATCGAACTGGCCATCGGCATTGGTATGGGAATCTACCGCAGCCGTTTTCTAAGGTGGGTCAGGAAGAAGTGTGTTCCCCCAGTAAACTGAACACATACTTCATGCAGGAAAAACTGCAATGTTACCCACAACAGCCTCACCACCCATCACTCTTCACCTCCACCGGCACTCTTCAACACCACCCCTAACTCCTCACCACCATCCCAAACTCATTACTACCACTCCCAACTCGTCACCACCAACCCAAAGTCATGACCATTTTCACTAACTCATCACCACCACACCACCCCTAGCTTATCACCACAACCCCTAATACATCACCACAACCGCCCCCCACTTATCACCACCGCCCCTCACTCACATCACTGCCACCTGTTTTTTTCATGCCCATATCCTTCCAGATCTCGTGGTGGCGAGCTCAGGCCATCCGCTTCCTCCTGCGATGGCCGTCGCTGTACCTCTGCCACCTCACCAACATTGCACGGCACGGGGCCTTTGGCCAGGATGCTGCCATCAGAATTACAGAAGCTGGCTTTGCTCAGGCTGTAACAGAGGACGGCTTATCCTCCTTCGATTCTGCCCTCGCATCTCCATCGTTTGACAATCGGAGGGCGAATGAGACTCTTGTACATGACATGGCGATGCAGGATTGGTTGGGAGAGGAGCTGTTTGTTCCAAGGCCAATGTTGCACATGCATGTGCGTCAGGGAGATAAGATCCAGCTGGGAAAGGCGGAGTCGGTTGCTACATGGATGAGGGCTGCCATGCTGCTGAGGGTGCATGACCCATCGCTGCACCGCACGTGGATTTCAACGGATACACAGGAGGTTCTTGACATTGCAAAGCAATATCGGCACTGGCGCGTGTATTGGTTTGGGAATGAGCCCAAGTGGAACCCCAAAAGCCAATCACAAAAGAAGACAGAGACAAGGGATTTGCGTGCCTCGGTGGAGTCTAGCCTAGTGAACCTCATGCTGGCAGCAGAGTGTGACTACTCTGTCACAACGCTCGATAGTAACTGGAATAGGGTCATACACTCTATGCGTATCACAGGTGGTAGGGCCAATAGCCCAGTTATTGTGTTAAGGAATGGAGTTTGGTAGTCTTTTGATTGCCTGATCTCTGTAGCATGTACCGCACATGGCTGACGAGAACTAACATATCTTGTTAGCTATTCTTGTGTATTGGCATGAATTTTGTAGGAATTGTGTTGTATACAATGGTTGCCTCGCGTAACGAATTTTGTGCATCCACTACACGGGCTCGCCTGCATCCGCCAGTTGACCTTCCCCAGTGCAAGTGGTGACAGCCGAAATTCACACCAACCCGCGCGGCACAGCGAATCTACAGTCCGTTCGCTACTATCACTCCGGCAACGCCAAGATCGTGCTTCAGGGAGGCGAACATCTGTGACCATATCGAGCGCATAGAACGTTTTCACATAGGTTGTGGTAGGCTCCGCCTGTTTCAATCTCCTCGTGCGTGCTGTCCCTTTCCCCCATTTCTTCCTGCCCTGCCCTCCCTTTCCCCTTCTCCCTTTACACCATTCCTCCCTTTCCACATTTCCTCCCTTTCCTCAATTTCCTCCCTTTCCCCCGTTCCCCATGGTCTCCCCTCTCTCCATTTCCACCCCACCGACTCCGCCTCGCCTCCCAAACCTAGTTATGGCTTCTCTTCAGTAGTTGTCTTAGCCTAGTCTAGACTCTGGAGTATTTATTTTTCCAGGTCGACGGTTAGGCTTTCCAGCAGTACCTGAGATGGACGTGATAAACGGCGGCTTTAAAGGCGTAGTGAAGACACTTGGTCGTATCGGCAAGCAGAGAGATCGTGGTACGTCGTGGTCGTGCTGCTGTGCCACGCTCAAACCAGGAAAAGCGAGGTGTTGCTTGTCCAAGCTCCTAGAACACATCGCTAAACATATTAATGTTCTTTCGAAAGAGTCCTCCCATGAGACAGGGAAGAGTGTAAGGAGACTCCACTGGTTGTATAGTAGGCTCCTTAGGTACCGTCTGTTTCGGCTTCATTATGCTTTATACCTTTCCCTTTCTAGTGTCACGGTACGTTCTCCAAGCTCCCTATTCCACTGATCTTTCCGCGTCCGGCAACTAAATTGTAGCATCAAGCTAGGTGTAGCACTTCTCTCGAGTGTAGTCCGCCTTAGCTCGTACAGGTCGTTCATTCCCATCCTTGCAGCTCAGAGCGCCCGTGCAGATGAACACGTCTAGGTCGCGACGCGACATGTCTGGAGACGCGGTGGCCACCGTCATGCGACATTTCGTAGCATTATAGGAGTTTGCGTTTTTTATTGCGGGTCGTGATAAGCATTTGTACCAATGCATACATATCATCAGACCTCTTCACGCCGCCGCTCTAATCCTCCATTAGTACTGACTGGTCGTGAGTCAGTCTTTGCGCTTCTCCCCGCTCGTTGATGTACTTCGATACAGTATATTATATTTCCACAGCATCTCGAACGATGCGGGAAAGTTCCTTATTGTCTTGGTTTCGTCTATTCTTTCTGTCACTGTCGGGCTGACAGCGTTCGAACCTGAGTTGTCATCGTGCACTTACCACCCATCAACGGCCTATGTCGTCTCTTCGGTCGTTGTTCTGTCACTTCGTACTTCAATTATCTGGTCCCCTGTCATTTACCCCTTTCACTGCTGATGCGTTTGTCGGTCTGTTTGCTGCCTTGCGTCTTTTTGTCGTTCACTTGCCGGCTGCCGTCCGCCGTCTTTTTACCGGCCACCGTCATCGCCTCGCGCGATGATGTGGACATTCTTCCTCTTAAATTGACCAGCCGACGGGCGTGACGCGCGTGACGCACGTCACGTTCGACCGCTTAAAGCACCGTCCATCTGCTTGCCGTCCACCGACACTTTCCTCGCCGCCGTTCCCCCCTCAGACGATTACGTCGACGCCCTTCCCCTGGAGACCGTTAAGCCGACCGACGTAAAGCACGTGCACCTACACCCTTGTTTTTTTTAATTTGTTTTCACCTTTTTTTTTCCTGTTGTATATCTCAACCCCAATTTTTGACCGTCGGCTGCGCTCAGACGATGACGATGACGGCCACCCTCTAGAGATCGGCGAGCCAACGGACGTGAAGCACGTGGCGCACGTCACGTTCGACCGCTTTAAGGGCTTCCTGGGTCTCCCGGAAGACATCGAGGGCGAGCTGCCGTGCCGCGCGCCCAGTGCGGGGTAAGCTGCGGTCGCTGCTAGAGCGTGTCTGTGCGTGTCAGTGCCTGCTAGGGCGTGCCAGTGCACTTTAGAGTGTACGGGGAGTCCGTTTGTGACGCGCGTGAAGGGTATTATGCGGTCGTTGTTCGCGCGTCTAGAGTGTGGGGCCAGAAGCGGGCGGTAGGAAGGTGGACGGGTAGCGCGATTGAGCTGGAGAAGGGCGTCAATACGTCCCTGGAGACTCCGCCAACGCGCAACCTTGTTGTCCTTATCACCATTCCCTATTTCCTCCCTGCTACAGGGCCCTCATTCCTCTCTGTCCCGGCCCCGCACTCTCCCCTTCCCTCCTGTCTTATTCCCCTTGTCCTTCTCCCGCCACCCCTCCCCCAGGCGGTCCGTGTTCGGCGTGCAGCCGGAACTGCTGCAGTGCTCACAGGACGAGTTCGGCAACAGCGTGCCCAACATCCTGCTGCAGCTGCAGGCGCTGCTATACGTCAAAAAGGGCCTCCAGGTACGCCTCTCCCCGCTCCCCCCCAGCCGTCCCCATCTCCCCTTCTTTTCCCTCTCAACGAGTTCGGCAACAGCGTGCGTCCCTTTTTACGCACGCTGCAGCAGGATGTCCCTTTTGTCAAAAGGGACGCCAGGTACGCCGCTTCCCCCTTCCTCCCGCGTCCCTTGCGTCCTGACCCCTGCTTTGTCCACTCCACCCTCTCGACGAGTCCGGCATTAGTCTCAATGCTCCCTCCCTCCCCTTCTTTTCCGTCCTCCCCTGTGTCCTCCCCCGTCCACCCCACTCCATCCCATCTCTGCACCCCGCGTACAGACGGAGGGCATATTCCGCGTGGCGGCGGAGAACGACCACGAGGACGAGATCAGGGATCAGGTCAACATGGGGCTCGTGCCGCAGAGCATCAACGTGCACGCGCTCGCGGGGTTGATCAAGGTGAGAGCGCTGCGAAAGTGTTGCGAGAGTTCTGCAAGAGCGCTGCAAAAGGTCTGAGAGAGGGCTGCGAGAATGCTTCGGGCAAGGCTTGTTACCAGTCCGTAAGTCCAACGTATTATCCCGTAACGAGGCGAGCCGAAGTCTATTTGCGTTCTGCAGAGCGCTGTTAGATATTGCGCCACTGGCCTCAACCTTCCCCTCTCCCGCTCCTCCCCCCGCCAGGCGTGGTTCCGCGAGCTGCCTCAGGGGTTGCTGGACTCGTTGCCGGTGGAGGTTGTGGCGGCGTGCGAGACGGAGGAGCAGATGCCAGATGCTGGCGCTGGTGGCGGAGCTGCCCGAGACGCAGAGGATGCCCTCGGCTTGCCTGTCCGTACACCTCTCCCCTCTCACCTTCCCAACCCAACCACCCACCCCCCCCCCCCCCCCCCCCTCCCGCCCCCTCACCCGCTTTCCTCCCCTCTCCCCCTCGCGCCAGGCGTGGTTCCGCGAGTTACCACAAGGGTTGCTGGACTCGTTACCAGTGGAGGTGGTGGCGGCGTGCGAGACGGAGGAGCAGATGCTGGCGCTGGTGGCGGAGCTGCCGGAGACGCAGAGCATGCTGCTGGACTGGGTGGTGGGGCTCATGGCGGACGTGGTGCAGTTCGAGGAGCGCAACAAGATGAACGCGCGGAACATTGCCATGGTGTTCGCGCCCAACATGACTCAGGTGGGTCGAGTTGGGTTATGATGGGTTGAGGTGACTCGGGTGTAGCATCACATGGTGCAGAGCAGAGAGCAGATAGCAGAGAACAGAAAGGGAGATGATGGGGTGGTGCAGTTCGAGGAGCGCAACAAGATGAACGCACGGAACATTGCCATGGTGTTCGCTCCCAACATGACTCAGGTGGGTCGAGCTGGGTCGAGCTGGGTCGAGCTGGGTTAAGCTGGGTTGAGGTGGTTCAACTGTAGCATCACATGGTGCGGATCAGAGAGTGGAGAGCAGAGAGCAGAGGGCTGACGGAGAGAGGGAGCAGGTGGGGTGGTATAGTTCGAAGAGCGCAACAAGATGAACGCGCGGAACATTGTGGTGGTGTTCGTTCACACCCATGACGCAGGTGGGTTGCAATGAGATGATTCAAATCACCTGGTGATCAGATCATCAGGTGATTCACAAAGGGATTGAGTCAGCGCATGCAGGTAGGTCTGACCGTTGATTGAGAGCAGCAGGGAGCCAGTCACATGGACTCATCGAACGGATAAAGGGGAATCAGCAGCAGGAATCGCTTATTCACGAGCTTAAGAAATCCCTTTCTTCCCGTCCTCATGCCGCCAGGTACTCGATCCTATTATGGCATTGAGACACGCAGTGAAGGTGATGGACTTACTGTGAGTGCTCATTGAGAGGAGGTGCTGCTTCGGCAGGTGATTAGCTAATCTGTTTTCTCCAATCCTCCTCCCGCCAGGTGCTTGACCCTATTATGGGGCTCAGACACGCAGTGAAGGTGATGGACCTGTTGCGAGTGCTCATCGAGAGGAAGCAGCAGGAGCCTCTGAGGGAGGGCGGTAGCGCGGCGCTCAAGTCCTTTGTGTACTGCACGCAGCCACCCACCATTGAGATCTTCGAGGAGCCCCGGCAGAGAAGTAAGGAGAGACAAGGGTGCGGCGGGGAAGGGGAGGAAGCGGGGGGGGGGGCGGGGGAGGCGGAGGAGGGTGAGGGGGATTGCGCGGATAAGGATGAGCTGCTGGCGCGGATGGGGGGGGAGGGGGAGGAGGCGGAGCTAGATGCGCGGGGAGGGGAGGAGGGGGACGTGGTGATGGGGGAAAACGGGGAGGCAGGTGCGCAGGGAGGAGAAGAAAGAGGGTCTGCAGCAGGGCAGGTCAATGGGAGCGAAGGGAGAGAAGGGGAAGGGGTAGGAGAGGCCGAGGACACGAGCACAGCAGCAGCTGGGGCAGGGGAAGCGGGCCTTAACCCGAGCAGCATCAGCAGCGGCAGCCCGTTTGATGCTTCCTGTAGTTCCCTACCAGGCTGGTCGCCACAGGACAGTCAAGCAAGTCAACTGAGCCACGCCTCACAGGACGACAGCAACAGCATCTCCCTTCCGCACCTGCCTAGAATCGCCAGCGACAGCCCCGTGCATCCCAGCAGCAGATTAGCCGGCACAGTAGACCCTAAGGAGCTCAGTCGAAGGGTAGCCAGCGGCCCTCTGCAGGTGTCAGCAGCAGCAGCAGAGCGGTGGAGGAAGAGGAGAGAACCCAAACCCGCACCACACCACACAAGAATGGCTTCCCATGATGGCCCTGTAGGCAGAGACGTGCCTCCCTCGCCTGGGTTCTTCCGGAGTGGCAAGAACGCGCCTCAGTCCGACCCCACAGCCAAGGAGCGCCGCGCTTCTCGGATCGGAGTCCCCACGAAGATGTTTTTTCGGAGGAATCTGTCGGAGGGCGGGCCGGCGTTTGGCCGGGACTGGGATGCAGAGCGGCGGAAGATTGCAGCAGAGGATGCAGGAGCAGCTGGGGGTGCTGGAGGGAGGGGGGTTCTGGATGGGGGGGATGTGGCGGAAGGGAGGGAGGGCGAGGGGGAGGATGAGGTGGGGGCAGGGGAGATGGAGTTACGGGGTGCAGAGGAGGGCGTAGGGTCAGGGCCAAGCGTGGAAGGCCAGCAGAGGGCTGGCTCGTCTGGTGCTCGGGGTGCTAAGAAGCTACTGCACAAGTTTGGGACAGGTCTCAAGGTAGTAACACCTGGTGGGGGGGGCTCTGGGGGTGGCTCTAGTGGGGAAGCGTCGTCGCCCCGCGGGCAGCTTTTGCGAAGATCATTTAGCTCCAAGGGGTCGGGGTTAGGCCCTGCTGCTGATAAGCTATCAGCGGTGGCAGCTTCTGTGTCGACAGGAGGGGTGCCGCCGCCTGTCCCAGATAGGCCTTCCCGGGTTCTACCTCCCACGCCTCGCATGGGAAGCATGCTAGAGAAGCCAGTGAGGAATGTGGAGAAGGCTACTAGAGGGGTGGGGAAGCTTGCGAGAAGCTTCTCAGGGAATATTGACGGGCACTGGGGTGCTATCAAGCGGGAGATGGGGTTGGCAGTGCGCGGTAAGGGGCGGAGTAGTTTGTCTGTTAATGCGGCAGGCCCGGTCTTGTCGGCACCAGGTGGAGTGGATTCGGCAGGGGCGGGCGGGTTAAGGGAGGAGAGAAGTGATGGTGGTGGGGCAGAGAGACTGTGGGAAGCTACTGGGCAGGTCGGGGAGGGGCGGGAGATTCTAGATGGGGTTATGGAGCATGGGGCCGAGGCTACTGTAGAAGCTGTAGATGCCGTAGATGCTATAGATTCTGTAGATGTGGGCATGGATGTAGGGTTTATGGGAAGGGATGGTGGAGGAGGGGATGCAGCTGTTGATATGGAGGGAGGGGAAATGGCAGTTGATGTTGTCGTTTGCACGACTCCTGGTCGAAGGGAGGGAGGTTTTGGGTCGGATGAAGATGTGACAATGGAGGGAGCTGAGGAGGGCGGCATGAAGCTAAGGGATGATGATGAAAGTGGGGATGTGGGGAAAGGGTCTTGGGAGGGAGAGAGCGGGGAGTCCGATTTTAGCTATGGTGCTGTAGGAACGTGGTGAGGGATTTTGCACAGTATTGGCTGGCAGCATGAGTTGATTCGTGCTGATCGAGAATTCACATGTAGGTGGCAAAACCTCTCAATTGGTATGGTGAAGAGCTTTGTATTGTGCTGGATCATGGGTAAAATCTGGTCAGGTGAAGCAGCAAGCAGCTTATTCTAATAGTTGAGATAAACTGCTCAAAGCCTCCTGTGTGAATGGCAGTCAAATATCAGACAAAACAGATTATCATTAGTCTAAAATGCAGAGCACGAAAAAAAAATTGCATATTATCACCTTCATTTATCGATGTGGACAAATGTGCTGCACTCTCCCTCTCGTCTCCTCATGATAACACCGCACTTTTGCAGCTCGGCTGATTGGCGGAACGACAATCAGTTTCTTGGCATCGTACAGCACTGTACATGTCCGCGAACTTGAATGTTTTCCAGCAGCATTCACCCTGGCAACATTAGCCTCAGTCCAGGTTGTACAAGCAGCATTGTCCACACAACGAAACATTCACAACCAAAGGTTCTAAGAGCGTGTCCGAAGTGAAGCGTCGAATGGATATCGATGGATATTGGTAATGTGAACCCTCGGATCGAAAGTTCCAACCGTCAGGATTTACCGACATCGGATGTCAACGGATGTCGGCTTCACTTCGGACCCGCCCTAAGCCGAGCTGTAATTGAAGGAATATTGAGAATGTTCTTTGGAGGTTAAAACTTTACGGGCTATTCACGCCAGATTTTTCATGCCTTTCTGCTTGGCACGCTTCTGTACGTAATTGTGCTGCGCAAGGCCCCCATCCCTGGTCTCCCCTTCAAACTGGTCCCCCCTCGGTCGTCCCGTTCTGCCCATACAGCACTGTACAACGGTTGCGCCAATCACTCATCCCCCCATCACTGCTTTGCTTTGCCCCAACCTCTGTCGAAGCGGCTCGATGCGAATAGCAGCGTCTCCACAAATATTCGTCACTTTGTGGTCACCTGTCTCCGAGCCTGAAAAAAATGTAAACCGCACTAAGACGTTCTTGATCTCTTTCGACCTGTTCACTCACCTAATCACCGCCTTTTGCTCTAGATTCCCCCATCTTGCATTTCTCCCTTCCCTGCTATCCACTCCATCCAAGGCATGCACTGTAAGAAGCGCCCCAGCTGTCATCACGCAACGCAACGACCCCTACAGTCCTGTGTTTCCTTCTCCACAAATCTCTCTCTGCTCGCTTTTCTCCATGCTAACTGCCTCGTGGCTCTATCCAACCGCCAGGCCTGGGAGGCCCAAATCCTTGTCCCGTAGCGTACGTCGTGCTTGTCCGCGTAACGGCCTCCTTTTAAACGCTCGGCCTGCTTCAGTTCAGGCAGGTCGAGTCATCGTCACCATCCTGTTGTTCTAGCCGCCAGCCACCACTCCGTAAACTCGCCTCCCCTCTTGTTCGGCTCGTCCACTGCAGGTCTCTGCACCAACAATGTACCTCCACCGACCATTCCACACCTAGCTTTATGCTTCTTCCACGCTCCTATCAGCTACAGCTGCAGTCATAGTATTACTCAATACTGACATTTACTCCCATAGCACGTTGTAGGCGTCTCCTCCCTTCGAAATATACGAACACCGAACGTTCCTAAGGGAACGCGAATGCGCTCCGCAGTTTCATTCGCGAATCGAGCGTGAAATCTTTTCATTACTCAGTCAAATCTCCCTCTGTTCTTTCCACCATGGCCCTCGATCTGCGGAAGTCCATCACCAGTGCTCGACTCGCCGACGCATCTTCCCTCGAACCTTCCGACCGAGCGTTTTCCCTCTCTCGCCTCCTCTCGCCACGAAGCGGCAATCCCCGCTCCTCCTCATTTTCGCGCGGAAACGACAAAAACGACGTCAAATCGAATGTCTCTGCATTTTCGGCCTCCGGGTTATCCGCAAGTGTCCTATCTGCAGCCGAACCTGCCGGGCTGCATTCCGAAGCAGCACGCACTGGCTCGGGTGCAGCCGCCGTTGGTGGCTGGGAAGCTCCTCAGGCTACAGCTTCGGCAAGGGTAGCGTCGGAAGTCGAAGGTTCGGGACAGCCGAAGCTGTTGCTGGAGGCGCGCTCAGGCCGCATTGCACACGTCAGCCGGGGGTTGTTGCGCGACCTGGGTTACACCAGCTCTGAAGATTTTGGCGGGAAAAGCTTGTACGATCTGGCGGATGGGCTCTATGAAGCTGATTGGTCGAGAGCCGTAGAGGCGGTGACGAAGAACAATCGCGCTTCGGTGCGAATTCACTTCAAGCTGCTGAAAAGCGACAGAGCTGGCGATCTTGTCGGCACGCGCGTCGCTCGCTCGCTGAATTTCGCAGGCGACGAAGAGAGGACCGTCGCAGGCGATGGACCGTCGCCAACATTCCTCCTCGGGGGCTTAATGCCAGCGCCGCCGCAATCATCGACGCCGGCGGCGGGAGCGGCCAGCGGTTTCCGGGTGCGACGCGTGGAGGTGATTATAGAGGAACCGCCCCAGACCCCGCTACAAGAAACGACGGGTAAACGAACGGCCGAAGCCGCTCTAATGGGAGAAACTGTCGAACGTCGAGAGTTTGATGGCGTCCCTGGGAGATACCAAGATATTAGAGTCTCAGAATGCGACAGCCTTGGCGACATAAATGGGGACTCGAGTCGCATAGGTGGCGAATCCTGCGACAACTCTCTCGAGAGTTCTTCCACGTCAGCGGAGCCCCATTCCACGTCACCGCAGGAGCAAATTACATCACCAGGTTCGGACTGGCAGGCGGGAAGCGAGACGAACAGCGATTGGTCGAGGGAGAGCGAGTTGCAGCAGCAGGGCTTAAAAGACGGCATCAGGGGGGCAGGTGCGAGGGGAAGCCGCGCGCAGCAGAACGGAATGGTTTGCGCGTTTGGCGCGCCTCCCGGCTCTATCACTCCCCCTCGCGCCCACGCCCGCCCCCCTCTCCCATCCCGCGGAAACGGTGACGTGGGGAGCAGCTCTGGTCGTACGCGCGCCTCCGGCTACCACTCCGCGCGCAAGCCGCCCGTTCCACGTGTCAGCAGCACAGGGTCGTTGAAATCAATGCAACCTCCGAATTCGTCACGGACCGTCCAGAATAGCAACTGGCCGCGACGCGAGGATGGAGAGGAGGAATTGGAGGAGGATGACGAGGAGGAAGAGGAGGAGGGGAATGGGTTGGAGATAGACGAGGAAGGATTGGCATTAGCTTTAAGAGAAGACCCCGACGACGAGGATGCTCTTAACGAGGATGCATACAGTGAAGCAGAAAATGACGACGACATGACATCCCCGATCGCGCCGCTCGAGGAAATCGAGAATGATTTTGAAGACGACGACGACGATGATGAGGACGCGTATATCGGGGATGGCAGGGGCGGGGAGAGCGCGACCGTCGCTCGGCAAATTTCGGACGTTCGTGAGAGGCTTGCGGCGCGGAGATCGTGCCACCTGGCGCGCGGAGGGCGGGAGATGGACGCGGACGCGATATCGGACGAGGACGAGGACGAGGAGTCGTGGGAGCGCGTGAAGCAGCGCTGGGCCGCGCAGCAGCAGCGCCTGCAGCGGCGGGAGGAGCAGCAGGTGCAGCAAGCTGTTCAGGCGGCGAGGGAGAGGGAGAAGGAGCGCGAGAGGGAGAGGGCGGCGAGAGGGGGGGAGGAGGGCAAGAAGCGGGCGTTTGCGAAGTGGGTGGGCGGGGTTCGGGGAGGGGACGGGGGAGAAGGAATGGAAGGTGAGGGAGGGGGAGGGAGGGAGGGAGTGTGGAGGAGTGAGCGGAGCGGTCGGAGCGATAAGAGCGACAGGAGCGATAGCCCTGCTAGCAGATCGCTGCGCATGAGCCTGAGCATGGGACGATCGCAGTCTCCTGCTGCCCCAGCGGCCTCTAGTTATGGCCAAGGCAATGATGAGGGGAAGGTGCGGGAGAGGGAGAAAGAAAGGGAGAAGGAACGAAGAGGCCCGGCCCTAAGCAAGGCGGTGAGCTTCGGGAGAGTGGGCTTTTCGCTTTCGTCCCCTTCAAAGAGAGAACAGAAGGGGTCCAGCAGGCTTGGGAGTGCCGAACCAGAGGGCTGGAGTGAGGATAGACGGGTGGCTGCTAGTCGTTTTGCTGAGGAGAGTGGGAGGAGCGGAGTGGGGGTACAGCAAGAGAGAGGGAAGGAGGAAAAGGAGCAAGAGGAGGACTTTTTCTGGCTGGGATCGCCCGTGAGAGAAGACAAGGAGACTAAGGACTTGAATGCTCCCTCTGTCTCTTGCATTGACACCAGCACTGGCAGCAGTCTTGACAACAGCAACAGTACCGTCACCAGAAGTAACAGCATTCGAGGAAAACTGAACCTATCGCTGTCACCTCTCAACGTAGACGACTCGGAAGCACCAAGCGAGACCAGCCCAGCTTCTCCCGCTACCATCTCCAGTCCTTCTCAGCCCCTCTCCCGCCCGCCCTCCCGTATTCCCTCCCTCATCGCTCGCTCTTCCTCATCCGACGATACCCGCAGCCTCTGCAAGCAGCGCTCAGAGCCCAAGCGCGATCTCAACCGCATTCCGGCACCGTTCTGCACCGCCCCCGACCCCTGCAGTTTACCCGCCGACTCACAGCCCGGGGGAGGAGAGACGTCCACGCCTGGCCGGCGCCTGTTGAGCGCCCTAAGCCACAAGGGAGTGGTTGGCGCTGCCAAGAAGGCCCTTGAGGCAGTCAGCTCCCCTCGCCGCTCCCACACCTCTCTCTTCGCCTCGGCATCTGCAGAGTGTGCCCCGGCTCATGCCGATGCTGCTGATGGTGGTACTGGTGCTGCTGGTGGCGGTGGGAGGGGAGGAGGAGGGGGAGCAGAGCCCCTGATTGGTTCGCCGCGGTTCTTCTCGTCTTCCTCGCGCCCGTCGTCTCTCCGCCCCTCTGCCTCCCATGACAGCTACACGTCCTCTCCCTCCTCTCGTCTCTCCTCATCGCCATCCCGGAGCATCGTGCCTCGCTCTTCCTCTCTGGAGGTCCCGAGGTTGGCTGGAGTGCCTCGGAGTGTGTCGCAAGAGAGTGGTTTTGGCACCAGCGGCAGTAGCAGGGAAAGTGGTGGCGCCTCACGCCGCCGCAGCCTGCTTGCCCCATCCTCTTCCAGGGAAGATGGGGGCAGTTACAGAGAAGGGAGCAGCTTCAGAGGTGGTGGTGGAGGGGATGTGAGTGGAGGTGTGCAGGGGGGGAAGCAGCAGCTGTCTGGGCTGCAGGCCCCAGGTGTATCAAGCAGTGTGGGTGGATGTGCAGTGGAGTGTAGAGCGGTTGGGATGGAGGGTCGAAGGGAGGATGCTGGCTCGGCTTTGACACCCAAGGGCCGGTGGGGAGCTTGGGCTGAAGACGAGAAATCTGGAGACATGGATTGGTTTTGGTAGTTTGCCCTGCGAAAGAAATTTGAATATGCTGTAATATTGTGTGCTTGAGTTTTGAAACGTCTTAGTGAGTTGCATTGAATCTCTTACCAGTGTAGAAACCAAAAGCCCCCGATTTTCCAAGTTCAAGTGTACTAACGACTGCGAGCAACGATCCAGCCTCAAGCGCATGTCATGTGCTGACTCGAGCGACATGTGTGACACGTGCCAAGTGGTGCTGTCGTTTCTGATGTTCTTGTCCCCGCGCCTCGGATGTCGTGCTTTGATTAGGGCGTGTCTGAAGTGAATTTCGACGTTTGCCGACGAAACTTTCGTCGACGTTCCTTGACGAAACTCGACATCCGTTTTCAGCTGTGTTCACTTCAGACACCCACACGACAAAATAACCCACACGTGCCATAGGAACACTGTTATAAGTTGCCCATGAAAATTCGACGTGGAATTAACAGAATCATTCATGTAACTCAATTGTTTGCAATCTCGCGAATTTCGCTTAGCATAGATTGTTGCTGGTAACACCGGATATTCTACTGTCACATTGCCAGCGAAATTTCTCTAGCACGTGTCGCTCTCGTCTTAGTTCTTATTCACGTGTGTTTGCCACAGCTATGCAGACATGGCGTGTCGAAGAATTGTTTTTGAAACACTCACTGACTACAGTGACTCAAACAGCTGCCCGGTATCACTGTTCGACATCCCTCGACATGTGCACGAACGTCGAGTTTCGTCGAGGGATGTCAGGCTGCACTTCAGACACCAACACGCGTGGGTCCCACGGATGAGTTTCGTCGACGAAATCTGACGAAACTCGACGTTTGCACTTCAGACACGCCCTTAGACGCGAGGGCAAGTGAATGTCGTTCAGTAACATGACATTGTCGAGATTGACCACTTGCTTCAGGTGGATACCGGCCAAACGACAATGTGTACGGTTGCAAGGGCGTGTTTTCAGCGCAGCGCATCATGTCAGAAGTACCTCGGTACTGATTTCTTACTAGGGAGCCTGGGAAAAAGCCTGGGATGGTGTCAATGGTGGCGAGAGGAGAAATGCACTGGTGGTGCTCACGTCAGGCAGGTGAGCTCCTCCGAACAAGAAACGGCGATTGTTTCGGCGGGGCCGCAATTCTTTGTCCCTCTCACCTACCTCAGCAGACAGGGTCTTTTTCCAGTGCGGGACTTGGAGAGCAGGGGACCGGAAGGGAACCTCAGGCAGCACTGTAGGGAGCAGCTCTGTAGGCATGTGCCAGTTGGCAATGTAACCCCCTGGATTGCACTTCAAACCGGGCTGGGGGGAAAAATTTCAGCCCTGCGGAAGATACTGTACTACTGTACAAAAACATTGTAATATCTAAAATTCGAGGTGCTGATTGTGCTGGAATGGAAGGGGGCATCCGCAGGAAAACAGACTGTTTCGTTGGGTGCCCTCACGGCTGTTCACGTTTAATCCGAAACACTAGATTCAACAAAATTTAGATAAAAGTGCAGCACTCGTGTTTGGTTTCGGTGGACAGAAAGCGGTTTCCCACTCACACTGGCGTGGTGTTTCGGATCAGAGAGCACGCGGATTCTCAATGCGCCCTTACCGACACCTACCAAAACCGCACACTGCCAGTCCGCGCGGAACCTGGAGGTTACGGGCGGAAAGACAGCTGCCGTTGGCGGTTACGTGTAGCTTGGTTTGGTGTGGCCTGAGTCGTGGGGGAGAAAGGGGAGGAGAGGGGGAATACAGTACGCGTTTCCATCCCGTTTCCTCCCACTCCCATCCCCCGCTCACCCCTCTCCCCGTCTGTAAAGCTTCCGCCTTCCCCCTTTCCAGCACGAGGCATGGTGCACAAAACCCTCCCCACGGCCCTCAGCTGAGATTGATTTTGCTCACCCACCCACCTACGTAACTCAAGCCCCACGAGTAATCGTCAAACTCACTTCTGCTCATTCGTCCTTGTAAATATTACGCTCCAGGGCTATCCTCCTTGTCTACTGAGCTAAGACGGGCGTGGAGTACACATTGGGAGTTCTAGTGGACTAGCAGCCGTCACTGATCTATATTTTTGAGTCGACTCTGCGTCCGACTTACTGGCAGCCGTCACGCGTTCCTTTATTGGCCCAGCATGGGTTTTCGACAGTGTTGGCCGTCACTAATAGCAGTTCTAGTAGTCGTAATATCACTAACGGCGGTCTCCGCACAATCGCAACCACCGCCCACCCCACCACCAGGGGATCCCGCAAATGAAATCATCCCGATTCCAGGATTTTCCACCCCCGATTCCGTCGCCATGGCCGAAAGTACGAGCATTGCCTCACGCATTGTCGGTTCACGGCACCAATATAGTTTCCACTTCGCCGCTTGTTCCTTCTCCCTGCGCCCTTTTTCCCATTTCGTAACGGCCACTACCAGTGTCATTGCCGTTGCGCTAAACTAACTTCCTCTTCGCTTCTAACGAATATCTCTTCATGGCCGTGGCTTGCGCAGAGGCGGCACTGCTGGCATTCGCGAAAGCGTTCGGCAACCACGAGGTGTTTTTCAAGTGGGGGTCGTGGGCGAACGTGTCGCTGGGCATGCAGTACAACACGTCCAAGCCGTGCGTGCAGTTCTGGAAATGGATCACCTGCGACATCGACGGCCGCGTTAACGCCATGTAAGCCGTCCTCCCCGCCCCCACCCCTCCACTCCCGCCGCCCTCAAGTCGTTTTATAGACTAGCCTCTCTCCGCCCCCTCCCCCCGCCCCCCCAGCTTTCCCCTTTCCTCCTCTCCCTCACGTTCCCCCCCTCCTGCCCCCACCCCCCCTTCATCTTACAACGACACTCAATTCATCCCTTCCCCGCGCACCGTTCTCCCCTTTCTCCGCGCGCGCAGCGACATAGGCAACCCCCAGATGGCGGACAAGGACCCGTCGTACGGCAAGGGGATGTCGCCGGGCGCGCTAAAGGGGCAGATCCCGTGGGCCAAGATGACGGCACTCGAGAATCTCGTGCTTATTAATTTGCAGGGCAACGACGTCTACGGCCCCGTGCTGCCGCCGATAATTTCCAAGTTCTCCAAGCTCAAGGAAATGTGAGCCGCGTCGCCTTTGCCTCCCGTCCGTGTGCTGCGCTCGAGTCGGTCGCGCCAGCTCCTCGCCCTTCACAGTCGATCCCTGACGTTTGATTTTCCGTGCCTTCCCGGTCGCACTCCCTGTTTATCGAGTCTCAGTTCATCTTCTTATCCGTCGTTCGTCTAACCCTGCCTTTCTGCCCTTTCCTCCGTGTGGTTGCGCATGCGGTACGGTCCGGTGCGGTACGGTGCGGTGCGAGCAGCATGTTCGAGGGCAACCGGTTCGTGGGTCCCTTTCCCGAGGAGGTCTCGGCGCTCAAGAGCCTCCAGAAACTGTACGCTCCGCTCGCCGCCGCGCTTCGAGTCCGTCGCCGCCGCCGCATCTATTCCTCTAACATGCGCGAACATTCTCGATAGTTCTCGAGCGTTTTCGGGTTTCCTGTTGTCGTTCCGTGCACCCCCACCGTCATTCTCGTGACTCTGTTATCGTTTTGCCGCCATTGTCGATGCTGATGGATAGTGTGGTCTCTGACGACTTTCCTTCGTCGCTCCCGGGGTCCTGTCGCGTCCCCGCTTTCCCCGCTCCCCCTCGCAGCGACGTGAGTCTGAATCGCATCACGGGGTCAATCCCACGTGGCATCGCCACGTTGAGCAATCTGACGTGGCTCGCCCTCTCGCAAAACCAGATGGCCGACGTGCTGCCGCCCGAGATTGGAAACTTGACTCAACTTGTAAAACTGTACGCACTCGCGACTCGACCTTTCGCCCTCTCGTCAATTTGGGGTCGCTATTGAGCAAGTTCACCTCAATCCGCTCTGTCTCTCGTGTGGTCTTTAACTGGGAAAGTATCGTGCGTGCTTGCTTACGGCATCTGCGCTTCATACCGCCACGTGTCTCGTTATTTAGTTAAACGTTTTGCCGGTGGCTCATACTGACGGCTTTGTGTGCTACGCTCGCATCGCAGGGACATTGGCGGGAACTCGTTTCAAGGCACGCTGCCGGAAAGCTGGGGCTCACTCCAGAAGCTAGAGCTGCTGTGAGTGCTTATCAACTTATCAATCTTACCACGCCTGCTTATCAACCTCCTCCCTGTGTGCTGCTTTGACCGTCGCCTTTGCCCGCTCACGCCGCATTTTCAAATCCTCCCCCCCACACCCCCCCTCCCCCCTCCCCCCCCCCCCCTTCCCGTCCACCTGCCCTGTACCGTCCGTTTCGGCCAAAGACTCATCGCTTGCCCATGCCCATTTTTTCCCGCTCCTCACCATCCTAACTCTCTCCCCGTTCCCTCTTCCCCCGCTTCTCCCCTTCGCTCCCCCCCCCCCCCCCCCCTCCTCTCCTCCTCTCCTCCCCTCCCCCCTCCCCCCCCCTTTTCGGCGCGGCAGCAATCTGCAGAAGCTGAATCTGAACGGCTCCTTCCCCGAATCGTGGGCGGGCATGACGTCGCTGCAGCACTTCGTGGCGCCCGCCGCGCGCATCCAGAGCCGCTTCCCGTCGTTCCTGCTCAAGCTCAAAAACATCTCTGACATGTAAGTCCGCTCTTCTTCACCCGCCCCCGCCGCATCAACACCCCCCGCCTTCCCCTCCCCTCACCACCAGTCCTTCCTGCTCGAGTCTCAGCCTCCCCTCGCCTCGCATTCACCTGCTGCTGCTCGTATCCTCCTGCTGCTACGCTCGGTGCCTCGCCGTGTCGCACCCACGAACCTTCCTCCCAATCCATCTCTTCCTCCCCTTCCTCTTTTCAGCTTCCTCTCCTCTTCCCCCTCTCCCCCCACTCCCCGTATTGCCCTTCCCCCCACACCCGTATCCGCCCCTGCGCAGAGTGCTGTACAACAACGAGCTGTGGGGGCCACTGCCGCCCGCCAAGGAGCTCTTTGCGCCCCGCACGCTCACCGCACTGTGAGCCGCCCGCCCCTGCCCCGCCCAACCTCGCCCGCCCCCACCCTTCTCTGCCCTTCTCCGCCCGCATCAGCC